GAGAAAAGGAAGGCATTTAAAGGGATGGTCTCCGTTCACAACCGGGCCAACAAAGTTTCCATCCACCGATTCGATGCGTAGTACCATGGGGCAAAGGGTTGGAGATGGTCCCTGCCCTTACCCCTCAGGTCATCTGACCAGGAGTCCGTCAACCAGCGGACTGTATCAGTGCAGACTGTGCGACCTGGCTCACGCAGCAGCAGTGGTCTCCAAACAGAGCCCTTTGGAGTGGCAAGCCGCGCCGCTGAGTGGGCCATCTCATTTATCAGGATTTCTGTGTGGCTGGAGGCCACCCTCTGCCTGCCTAAACTTGCAGCCAAATCAATGATTAGAGCAGGTGACGAAAAAGTCACGTTTGCCACCGCCTGGAGTACTGATAGGCTATTAGAAAAGATAGCCATAGGTCTATTGGTCTGTGCAAGGATTTGGAAAGCCCTCACGAGCCCCTGGGCCTCCGCCCAGAAAACACTAGTGATCCCATGGAGTGACCAGACTTCAGTTATCTTCCGACTCAGGACCACTACCCCTATGATCGTACATGCCTGGTTTTCGATACATCTACCCCTATCTGCTCCCCCACTCTGGCCATTTGGTTGATGTCCATTTAAATTGTGTGCAAATAGCGTCTGGAGGAAACCCTGTCATGTTCATAGTCTAGACTCAGCCGACTATGGATGCTGGTCGGGCGGCGCACACTGTTGCTGGTATATCTGGTTCAGCGAGATGTTTGCACAGCAGGCCTCCACCTGGACCCAATAGATGTATGGTGACATGTTGCCACCATCTATAGAAGGATAGGCTGTTCACCGAATGATGCAGGTCATAGAAAGGCTGAGTTTTCCTCTGAATATGTGGACCACAGTGTATGAAAGGGCCCGCATACGGAGCCTGCTGTGCAGAGGAATGTAACCTGTTTCCGCAAATATGGACAATGCGGGTTGTCTTAGGTACTCCTAGAGTGGTTCTCAGAGCCATATGAAAAGGCTTTTCAATACTTCTTAGAGTGGAGGGGGATGCCCCTGCCAGCACGGGAGCTCCAGATTCGGCCATTGGGCTTAACACAGCCTTGGTGAGATGTAAGATGCTCTCCCTACAAGCTCCATTCCGGCTGGAGGTAAAATATTTAAGGTATGATCCAGCGTGTGTAAGTTTAGAATGCAGACAATCAGCATGGGCTATCCACATAAATGATTGATGAAAGTGGACCATGAGGATCTGCAGTGATGACTGTTGTAGTATGTTCCCTGAGCTCAGGGTCAAATTGACAACTGGCCACCTCTTCTTGGGGGAGAAATCGATTACCGCACTCTTCATTGTGGTGAATGACAAACTCCAGGTTGTCAGCCAGTGGTCTAGGGAGTTTAACACTTTTTGCACGTATCCAGTTGCGCAAGTCTGATTGGCACTGGTCGCTATAATATACAAGTCAACTGCTTTCAAGACTGTCGTGACCTGTGTCAGGAGCGCTTTCCATAGGTTGGCCATGTAGCAAGTGAAGATCAGGAGTGCTAGAACACTCCCCTATTTTCTGCCCCTTCACACGCTGTATGAGGTAATAAATTCCACTGGCGAAGTCGACCTTTTTATGTAGGCTACCATTCGCCATAAAATGTAAAATAGTTAATTTTATATTTTATATAGTTATATTTTTTATCAAATGTAATTATTAATTTTGCTATGCTACTGCTAGAGGATGTTATTAACTATTTTACATTTTATGGTGAATGGTAGCCTACATAAAAAAGGTTGACTTTGCCAGTGGAATTTGTTATTGCCTGGGACAGAAAATAGATAAAGACTCATTATGTATGTATAGTCAGAAAAGAAATATATTTTCTATAAATGTCATTATTGTCCTGGCAATTTTTATTTATCAGTCTAATAGGACTCTGATCCCTTCTGGCTGCAGTGCCCTTAAGGCCTATGCTGCTATGTGGTCCAGGCCCGGCACAGTTGGTTTGATTCGACAAAGTGCCTATTGGAGGTCCTGTTGCATGAAGAGCTGTTCTTCCCACCTGGCCTGTGGCCAACTGGGTTCTGGTTGGGGCACAAAACATCCCTGCGGGTCACAATGCCCGAAAAACTTTGCCAATTCTTCTGCTTGTTGGTGTGGCGTGACAAGTACTGTAGGATTTAGAAGGAAAAAGTGGTCTTTGCAGTTCTCCTGCGGGGAACACAGACATCGGAAGATCCAGTAGATCGTTGACATGGTGAGGGGTCTAGCACAGGTGCAACTCCACCAATCACGCCGAGACTGGCATACGCTCTATGGAGCTCCGTGCTCAGTTTTTTGTACGTGTCCCATCAAGTTAGGAATGCCACTTCTTTGCCCACAGGCACCTACAAAAAGGAGTTCCCTTGCCCCACCACAGGAACTTCCGCTGTGGTGGGGCAAGGGAGCACTCAGTTGTGTTCGAGATCATCTGCCGAACTATCCCAAACAGGTCGCTGTAAGTGTGGGCGGGGGGTCGGGGTTATGCCGCAAGCAGTTTGCATATCAAGTCCAATCTGTTCGATACTGAATGCGGGGAGCTGCACAACCGAGAGGGGTGCCTGACATTGTCACTGTCATCACTATAGGGGCATGGTCACTGATCAGAGTATCTCTGTACGTTCCCCATGTCATCAAACCCAGCAGATTGGTCCAGCAAAACATGATATCAATGGCTGATTCACGTCCATAGAAGAAGTGAGTTGGTTCCCCTGTATTGAGGCATCCGTAGTCTGCTGTCGTCAGCCATGTAAAGAGAGATCGACCCACACTGTCTGGCTGCATGCAACCCACATCCCAGTCACCCCCTAACATCCATGCAGGGCATAAATGTTAACTACTGACAGAGTCCTACCCATGACAAACACCAAGGTCTCTTGGTACTCCAATCCCCAGCCATTACCCTGTGGTGATGATGACTAGCCAGCCAATGGTTCGCTATCACTGTGAGCAAGCCCCCCTGGCCAGAAGTTCAGTCCGAGCGGAAGACTGTAAAGCCTGGTAACCTGAACGTGTTGCTCGGTCCCAGCCATGTCTCTTGCAGTATAATAATGTCCACAGCCTAGAACCATTCCGCCGTGAGGATCAAGTCACACTTAGCACATACTCCCATGTTCCATTGAGCAATGTGTAGGGTATGCTGGCCTGTGATCACCTAGCCATTATGGGGTTGGATAGAGGATGGGCACCGACTGAGTATGACCAGTTCTGCAGGTGTTAATGGAGAGAGGTCCTCCAGAGACTGAACATGTGTTGGGCCAGGGGTACTCAGAGCCTCCTCCCCCGATGGGGTCTCTTCAGTGTCAGAATGAGTCGTCGTGGCTCTCTGCTGGTGAGTAAGTCTTTTTTTCTTTTTGACCTGCAGAGGGGCCTCCTGAGTATCCATTTTCCTAGATGGATGCTTGCCTGTCGCCAGAGCTGCCATTGCCACGGATAGATCCAGATCCCCTGTTGAATTGTGCACAACTTCTCCCGAAGGGCCTCCACTGCTGCTTAGAGGGTGGCTAGCCGTGTCATTATGGCCATCTGCTGCCCCCTCACATCATCAGGTTTGCCTGTCGGCTCGTGTTCCCTGCTCTGGGGGCATCTAGAATGGGTCTGTGGTGGCTGCCACTGTTTGCACGTGTGTTGGGACGGTCCCATTGGGACTTTTTATCTTCTGAGTAGGAGCAGAGTTGCTGAGCACACAGTTTTAAGATACTATTCTGAGTCTCGAAGAAACACAAGCCGCCTTAAGCATAACATTATCTGATTAAAAGATACTTTAGGTTTCTCAACTATAATTAACCTGAGAAATTAAGTCCCGGAAAAGAAAGTATTAACTGTCTCAACAATAAAAGAACTCAAGCAAAATTCTCACCTTCACTGTTTTTGCAATAAAAGCTTTTGAATTAATTCATAAGCTCTTTGTAATGGCTGACAAAGACATGCCAATTCATAGTTATGCTGATGCTCTTAAGGTTTCAAAAGATGCTGGTACAAACACCACTATTACTTTCTACCCTTCTCTGCTTGCACATGTTCTTAGAGAGGGTAGTTTTGCCCAGAGGATGGCTGGTATACCTTATAGAGAACAATGTGCTATCCTCGGTGATTACTTCAACTTGGCATCAGGTGGAGCAGCACAGACAGCGGGAATGTTGTGGCTCCACAGCTCGACCTTCTTCACTGCCGCAATCAATGCCATGTCTGAGGAAATTACAAACCCTCTCAACCAGATTTATGAAAAGTTTGTTAATGGGGAGGTTGGTACCGAAGACTCATTAAAACGGCACAAAAACTGTCACAGCTTTCTGCAAAAAACTCCAACAAGAACTCAACCACCTGGAGTTTTTTGCAATTGAGGGGTCATACAGTCACTGAGGTTTTTGTGAGTCAATCAGTGCTCACTTATCTTGTGCACAAGCTGGAACTAATGAAGGAGCAACATGCCAAAAGACTTGCAAGTAGGGGAAACATCAGAAAGCCATGCCCCGCATATGTCAATGATTTTGTGGTATGGTTGGAAAATCCTACTGTAGATTACCTCGGAAGAGTACCAGTGGATAAACGTCAAGCTGCATACCACAAAGAGGCAATTCAATTGCCAAATGAGGAAGATAGAAATTTACTGGCAGAGGGTTCCTTCTCTTGTCTACGGCAATATCTTACCAAACCCAAAAAACGTGATGTCAGATTTATAGAAAAAAATCAATGCTGCAGACAGTTCCCTGATACAGACGGCCATTAAAGAGGCAAAAATTCTCATTGATGGGCTTGAAGGTCAACAAGCAAGTTTGTTCCAGCAACAGATTGCTGCCTCAGACATATTTAATACATTTTATTGGCTATCAAAGCTTAGTGTTTCAAGTAGAAATGCATTTAAAGTTGTCAGCAGATTCATTTACAATATTGGCATAGCTCCAGTTGGAACAGAAAAGAGAGCAGAGCTGGTCAAATGCAGCAGGAGCAGTCTCATAAGAAAATTTGCCAAGTTCACTACTACAGTGACAAATATCAATACACCTCCATTCATCTACACATATGGCAGATTTGACGACATAATACCTGTAATAGGTACGGTATGTGTCACGGACTTCAACAAAACATTACACAAACAAGCTACGAGCTGGAGGAATAATGTAAACATGCGACTTGATGCAGAAGAAACCCAAAAACGTGATGCCGGATTTATAGAAAAAAATCAGATTTGTGACAACTTGACTGCGAACGACTGATTTGTTCGCAGTCCAGGAGATTGCAAATGGCGCCGAAGGGATGAATATATTTCATAGTTGCCATCTTCTAAATCAACCGCTCCTATCAAAGAAGTCCTTCATATGAATATGCTGCTAACATAGTAGGCAACGCTCTCGAAGTCCGCTTTTATAATAGAGGCAGCATTTTTGACCAGCAGGCTTCAAGCAGCAAGGCATCCCGCAAAGTGGTGTCCTCTGATACTGTGGTATCTGATCAAGCCTGGCAGTAGCAGTCAAGTGGGCTAAAACAGTGAAATCACCAACTAGTATTGTTTTAGTTATTTTATCTTTTGTATTTTAGTTCAATTTGATGTAATTTAATCTTATTTAACTTATTTTAAAACAAAAATAGATACTATGCATGTTTTAGAAATTTTACTGTAATTCAATATAGTCTGTTTTAAGTTTTAAAATTGTTGTTATTACTTTAACATCAATTTAAAAGGAAGCTTAAAAAGTTCACTCGTTTGTTTTGAAATGAATTATCTTATAAAGTCCCAAAGTCCGCCAAAGCCACAGATCAGATCCAGTAGCGCACTATTGAACTTAACATCAGTAGGGTCTCTTTAGACCCAATGAATGACCTTAAAATTTGAACTAGTAGGAAGCCGGTCTATGTCTTTGCAATAGTTGACTAGTGTTGGATTACTAGATGTGTGAAACTAGTGAATGGATAAGATTTTTTAAATAATAATTTAAATACAAATATATGTATACACACACTATTTTTACAGTGTCAATTACAAACTACACGTTTTATTCCTTTTTAATATTTTATTTCTTTTTGATAAACTAATTTACAAATATTTACAATTGATCAAACTGATTATTATTATTAGACTTAACAGAGTATTAGTTTTGTATCATCCACAAAATTCAAAAACAATACAACTATAACTAACCAAATATAAATTTCACAAATAGCTACTTAAAGAAATTTCTCAAACATTTCATTCTATACAATATTCACAACGGATTTAAGTAATAACAATTTTTGTTATGAAATTCTCTCACGAAATCCACTTTAGAAAAAACAATTACAAATGTTGCACTCGACTATCGAGAAAAGCGATTTACGGCTCGAACGGAAGCCAGAAATCACTTCTCTCGAGTAAATTTGAGAAATGTTAATATCTATTCTGATATGTTTTATAGTTTATTTATTGAAATTTGGTTTCCTGAGATTAAGATTTAAATATTTAAAAGTAATCTTTGTCTAGTTTTTATGGCACAAATTATTCTCTTGTTTGTAACCTTGCATAGTTGCCAACGTACCATTGTTGCTATATTCTAATTTTTTATTCAAATAATTGTAGACCAAAATTATTTTTAATGACAATTCATTCTAGAAAATATAATTAGCTTAAACCATAAGAAAACCGTTAATACAAAGTTTATATGAAGTAAATAATAGAGATGAAAAGCCAATCTTGCTCAAAAAAATTTTATAACTAACTTTTGATTAAACATTACTTTAAAGGCACAGTTAATATGGGAATATGTTAAATTGAATATAACAAGAAGCTAGCAATTTTACAAACTTCCTCGGATTAAATACGTGCAAGATACGTCGTGTGTTGTACCTAACTGTACATCAAAGATCATTTCTTATACATTTATATGTACAAAATTTTATTTTGCACTAACTTATTTTATAAGTTAAAGATGCTGAAGTTTATTAAATTTACATACAATCCTAATTAACATGAATTAAAATTTGTACATTCTTAATAGAAAAACAGCAATTATGATACAGTAGGTTCTCAATTATCCGGAATGAAGAAGAGAAATGTTAATCCGCTATCATTTAAATTATGGATCCAGCAAACGGAATAATACATTTTCAAAGAAATGTGGAGAAGAACGTACACAATTATCTCGTGTAATTACACTTTGCCAAACCACCATTTTCCCTTCCTCTCTGCAAAGTGGACGAGACAAATGATGTTTGTGATTTAATAATTTATCCATAAGCATATTTGGCGTCATACGTAATTGAGAGTCTACTGCATATAATAATCACTAATTCATTTTGGATATATTATCAAATTATACTTTGAAAGATAATTGTTATATTCAATACTTTATTCTCATAAAATTCCATTTAAATTTGTGCTCTATAAAGTCTGTGAAGTGAATTTAAAATATTTTCTTTGCTTGACACATTTGAAAATTACGACAATATACTGAAAATTCTCATGTATTTCACCACACAAATGCATTGCCATACTTATTACAGTAACATTTATTGAAATTTATTAATTTATGTTTAAAATAATTTTATTGCTTTACTTTTTTCTTCCTATAAAACACCTTAAAGTTTAATTGAAACTAAACCTAAAATCTATTCAAATTTCCTTTTTATATTGATGACTGGTGAGCAAATTCAAGTGAATTTATAACCAAAGACATAAAATTTTGTTTTTCCAATTTAATATAATTCTTCTCAAAATAAAAATAATATACTTGGAATTTAAAATTTTACCAGCTCCTCAATATTAAATTAATTAAAAATGCATTAAATCGCTTCAAAAAGTTGCATTATTTTCATGTTAAAATGCTTTGGAGACAACTCGCTTTGTCTTCACAAATATATTGCAATCAGAAATAATTTGTATTGGTATTGACGGGTTTGTTCAGAGGCTGTGTCGTAAGCAAACTAATGAAAACATAACCCATTTGCTTATCCAGCTATATTAAAGCTGCCTTAACTAAATAATTTAACATTGGGGTAAACATTTAAAAAAAACTTCTCCTTGAAGTGACTTGACAAAATTTAATCAATAATTTAAGACTAACAAGAACTTTTCTTCCAAATCTAGTAAATATAGACATAATTACCAAAGAAATCATGAACTATATTGCTAATATTTTTTTATGGTTGAGCACTTTTAAAAACTATAAAACTTTCTTTTCTAACGTTCAATAATTGTAATTTTTCACTAAAATTTTAATTATTGATTTTCTGGATATGTTAAAAGATGTGTGTGATAAATTTGTTGTGCACGTAATCACATCTGCACAATCTGTACCGTATAAAAATTATATTTCATGTAGATAAATGATTCTCAATTATTTCACCTATGACCTGTTCATTTCTTCTTTGTAAATATCACAGCACACATGTCTGGTAACTTAACACCCTACAGATGCAATGCGTGAATAGTCCATTCCTCTGGCTAAAGAGGATGGAAAAATTACTAGGTCAGTCTGTGGACTACCTGGCGCGTGCTTCTGGATCACGGATAATAGTTTGTGAACCACTGATATAGGTTAAAATCTTTGAAAAAAAATAGCTAAGTTTCAAGCACAAAATTGTCATAATTTGAATCTTTTTTGAGTGAGTAAGTCGTTAAAGAAAATACTTTAGAGCAATTGCAAATATTAAGCAAAAATGCCTGCAAGCCATAAATGAATGATAATTTTTTTTACTATAAAATGCCATTAAAGAAGCTTATATGTTTTGAAATTTACATACTTATGGCTTTCTTATTATGAAAATAACACGATAAACTGTATTATCTAAATTATAAATTGGCTAGATTTATAATCATACTTAAATAGCTACTTACTATAGATTCAGCATGTGATGAAAACTTTCTATATTATGACAATATATATATCACAAGATGAAAATGACTATTATTGATTTTCAAATACTAAAACTGCATACAGTAATGTGTTGACATTAAAAAAAATATATCCATTAAGTATTACTTACAAGTAGCAGAAGGCAACTTTTTTTAAATTTAAGTGATATGTTTCCTAGTTCAAAATTAACTAAACTAACAATTATAAAGATTGACAAGAACCATACCATTGATGTCAATTATTTTGCAAAACAATTTGTGATTTGAAATGTCTGAAATCTAACTTCTTTGTAGACGACAATGCATTATTTTCTCCTCAATTTCCTCTTTCTATACACAAATATATTAATGTAGTCTTGAATGTGAATTGAATAATACTGTTTAAATTCTATATAAATAATTAAATTTTGAATGTAATCGTTATAAAATAATTTTGTACAATAGAGGATGTATTTCTGCACATGTTTTTTTTTTTACTATATTTTTAGTAAATTGTTATTCAAACATATAATAGTAATGTAAAAATCACTATTATTTTCATATAAAATTACAGATACATTTCTTTTTTTACATTTATACAAAAAAATTATTTTAACATTTTTAATATATTAAAATAAACATGAATGTTTTATCTTATTGCTTACACTATAAAAATTTAATGAGAAACTATGCAGGAAAAAACATACAATATAGAACTTTACAAGTTAAATTGTGATGATGAAACAATTAAAATTTGAGAATAATTTAATTTGTTTTTTACTCTAAAAAACAGATGATGAAAGATTCTAAAATATATTTACCAACTAATCAACATATATTTTTCAAAATAAATTAGCAAAATCAAGCTTCTGATTAGATTAATAAATATAATTCTATCTATATAACAATTAGCAATTTTACATTTATATATAAAAATTAAAGTCAAAAAATGTTATCACAGTTTTAAAAACTAATTTAAACAAATTATTGTGCAGTGAAAGTTTGTATTTGACATACTCTTGACTAGCAAGCACTTTTCTTAATTTCAATTTAATGGATATTTATACACCCATGTGTCACCTTTCTGATGAAACAGCTGTAAAAAAGTAATGGAACAAGTATGAGTAATGAAGTTACTTGTCATTAGATCTGCTTTAAACTAAATTTAGAACAAAACAAATATTATTTGAGAATATCAAACTTATACTATTTCCAATCAAAATTTGAATATCTTAGAATTTTATAATACTTAAGCCCCACAACACTACCTATCATTAATATATTGCAATTTGGGGAATAAAAAAATCAAGTTTCTGTACTAACATTTAATGAAGTTTTCTTTTTCATCATTGTAGAATTTTTTAATTCTACAATGATGAAAAAGAAAACTTCATTAAAATGTTAGTACAGAAACTTGATTTTTTTATATAAAAAAAAAGTAATACAAACAATAATTAATATTGAAGCTTCTCCCAAGACTAATTCTAAAATTTATAGTGAAATAATATTTCATCATTAAGGATAGCTTTTATTGACAGAGTTTGTTTACACAAGAGCATACATTTTTATAGAATGTAATATATAACTTTCAGTCTAATTATAATACATATGTTCTACTGCAAAAATGCATATTTAAAAATATACAAATAATTGGTTTGGTTAATTGGGATCAGATTTTAGAATTAATTTCAGATATTCTTTAATGTTACACTAAACAAAAAAAAAATTTTCCACTTCAATTATTTTTTAATATAGTATAAAGTCAAACATTATGAATTAATTTTTTTATTAAAAAAACTTTACTCTTACCTTTCCTTGATAAGTATTTTTGTCAAGATCTGCATCAGCAATTTCCCTTTGTTTCATTTCTATCTAAAATGTTAAATTTATAAGTTAGAAAAGATTATAAGATAAAATTTATTCAATTAAATTCAATTCAAAGCATTATCACACAATAAAATTTATTATTAACAATAATACTGCCATGCTAAAGAAATGGATCATAAGTATTATTTCTTTTCAAAATTGAGTTAGATATACAAGTGAGATTCCTAAAAATTGCTCTAACTTATCTCCATTTGATAAATATTGAAATTTGTAAGTGGTGAGAAACTAATTGTCAATTTATCTTATAAACAACAAATGTTTGAGTAGTAGTAGTAGTAGTAAGACAGGTATCACTCTTTGGTACGACTTGTTATGGAAAGACGGGGAAGATGGGGTGGGATCCATGGGCATCCCGCAACGGTGTTTTATAAGGAATAATCAGTAGTAAAAAGCAATAACGATAACAAGAATGTTACAAAGCAATACAGGTTGGGAGTGCCACGTTACAGATCGCAAACAGCACTAACATATGAACAGGTAATAACAAATACAGTGTGCAGATTAATAATGTTACAAGAAATTACATGTTGAGAGCTGTCTGACAAATCGTAGTCAGTACAAATATAATAAGAGATGACAAACAAATGTACATTATGCAGATTAACAATAGTGCAATAGTTTTATATGGGGAGTGCTATGTGATGATGACAGATAGCACAAACGTATTAATAGGTAACAAATGTAAAAACAGTATGCAGAATAATAATGGTACAAAGTAGTTACATGTTGAGTGCTATTTGGCAAACTGCAGATAGAACAAACATAAAAACAGATGACAAACGTATGTACAGTATGCAGATTAACAGTGCGTAAACTAGATACAGGGTGGGTGCTAGGGGCCAGAATACAGGTAGCCTGAGCTAATTAACAGGTTACAAATGTATATACAGTTGACATTATCAGGGTTACACTAAAAGCATAGACAGTGAATTTTATTAACGCGTGGTGTTAACATTATAGTTCAGTAGAATTGCATGACTATGAGAGAACAGCCATTGACTAAGTGTTTCTCGTCCTCTCTGTAAGCACTTCGATGCTCTGCAGGTAATTGTTCAGATGATTGTACATGTCTTTCTCATATATTAAGGCTTGTAGAGGACATGGCCAGTTATGGTTGTTACGAAGTGCCGCCTCAATGAGTCTATCTCTGTTGCTGTCGAAGAGTGGACAGTCAAACAACAGGTGAAGATAGTCTTGTTTGGTGTTCGTGTTGCACCTGCAGATCTCGCTGTCCCATAGCCGGAACCGGTGGAGGTAAGCGTTGAAGTTCCCATGGCCAGTGAGAACTTGAGTCAGGGTGAAGTTGGGAACAAGATGCCTGCAACAAAGCCATGAGTGGGATGGCCTGTAGTGCAGTTGTTCCAGTATTCTTGCCAAGTTTCCAAAAGTTGGTTATAGATCCATTTATGGATAGTTGAAGGCGGTATCTTACTGTAAGAACAAGGAAGGAACGAGACTGCAGCTCTTGGCGAGAGCATCAGCTGCTTCGTTCCCCTCCACCCCAGAGTGGCCACGGACCCAGTTAAGGGTGATGTTATTGTGGTGGTTATTACTGATAAGCATTTTCTGAATGGTGGTAACATGTAGCCATTGTTGTTGGTGTTGGAAATTGAGCGAAGAGCTGTAATGCTGTCTGTGTAGATGGCTATTTTCTTTTTACGGGGAACCAGCCTTCGTTGATGTGGTGGAATGCCTTGGTGATGGCGAAGATCTCTGCCTGTGGGACGGAACAGTATTTACCAAGCTAGAAAGCAGACTAGTGAGTAATATTGCCAGCAAATGTTTGGGTGCAAGGTAAAATAATCATACAGTAGAACCCCTCTAATCCGTCACCTTTGGGACTGGGGGTATGGTCGGAACGCAGAAAAGGTCGGATTATCAGAAAAAAGTAAAATAAACAATCTTCCCTTTGTCCATTCTTTGTAGTACTGCTAATTTTTCATTTAATGAAAGAGTAACATGTTTACGTTTCACTCCTGACATTGAAAACACACACAAAACTGTACACATACATACAATATAAAACATATACAGTACTGTAACGAATACAGAATAACACCACGGACGGTGAGTCACTGACGAGTTGGGACAAGTTTCTCGACACCGACCACGGTCGGATTAACCGGAGTGACGGACTAGCCGGGTTCTACTGTATCTATAAATGACAGGGTAAAAAGCTGTAATAGCCATAATTACAGTACTGACAAGTATTCTTTCCTGGTACAATGTCAAAGTGTAAGCATATCTCCACAGAAACTAACAATAGATAATTACTGGCAATAATGTGATGATAATTCACAAAAAGAAATACAATGGGTGATTGGATAATGAACACTTTCGCAACAGATTTTTATGATTGGACAACGAACACATGTTTGGATAACGAACGCTTCACTGAACAAACACAAGAAGAAGCGACCATAAAATAACGAATACCGATTGGTCTTCCTTTGTCTTCAGGCAACAGTTCAATACTTTTTGGAGCGTGGGAGACGTCGACATCGATGTTCTACCCAGTACTGATTGGATAGTATTCCTCAAACTTTGAAAATCTCCATTGTAATTACAGCCTTTTGTATTTCTGACAGAAACAATTCTTTTACGTTTTCTTCTGAAAATGCAGATTTATTCCAATATCTGCTACTAAAGATCTTTTGAAAAAGTGGGAGGATGTCAGAACAATGATCTTAAAATGGCATCCAAACCAGGTTGAAGTTAATAGGCCTATAGATCTCTACAATTACAATGCTATTAATTACTTCTGAAAAATCACAAAGACCAGAAAAGCAATTGACATTGGACAGATTCTTTAACCCCCAAAAACGGAAAGAACATGACTAATAAAAATGCAAAACTGAGTACATACGTATTTTTATTATTACACATGAATAAATGTGGTAAGTATATATTTTTTATTTTTTTGGGTCTTCAGAACGAATTAATCAAATTCCCATAGAAACCTATGGTAAATCGAGAATCGGTTAACGAACAATTCAAATAGTGAACAAAGTCTTGGAACGGATTATGTTCATTAACCAATCACCCACTGTATTGTATTCAACAAGAATTTTATTCCCATTGGTAAGAGGATCCGTTGGAAACCCCTGCCTGTCCTATGGCAAAAGTTGTAACTGGGGGGGGGAAGGAAACTATCAGCTCTTTCTGTACACACTTCCTATGGTCTTGTGATATGACACATTATTCTATGGTTTCATAACAGCAGTGGACAGAATAAAAACTGGGCACTTTTCATTTTTCTATTGGGTTGTACGGAAAGTAAGTTTGTTTTTTTTTCCGTGGAAAAAAAAAACATTTTTATAATAAATAAATATTTTATTGAACGATATATCAACCATTTTGGTAAAATATCTGTTGTCATCGTTTCTGGTAGCAGCATTATTTCACATTCATAAAAGTTTTGATCGTTGCTTACAAAAAACCGATCCAAGTGATTTTTGACATTGTCATTTCAAGTAAATGTTTTAGTTAAAGAAAATTTGTATAGACCGGAACAAGTAATAATCCGAGTGTGCTCCATTAAATTCTAAAATATTTATTTCAAATTTATGTGCACTTAGTAATATAAAAATAAAAATGATTCTGTCACAATATTAAAGACATTATTATTTTGAATAAAAAAATACACTAAATTGATTAAATTTAACCTTCATTGATATTTGATACTAACAAATGAAATCAATAGATGAGAAATGTTACATGATAGTTAAAAATATTTATAAGAAAATAATAAGTACCTGTTGTTTGTAGGAGGATGCCATTTCTATATCATTATTTTTTAACGCTTTAGTAACTTCGTACCATATTCGTCTCGACTCGCTACTATCTTGTTCGTTAAGAGGACGGAGGCGTTTTTTATATTTTGTTAATTTATTTACATTAATTACGTCTGTCATTCCCTACAGAAAAATTTAAATATAATTAATATTCTCATTATGCTAAGTCTTTTCATTTGAAATATTAACAAAAGAAAACCAGATAGAAAAATAACCTGTATGAATTAGTGTGCCAATAATTCTGGAACATATCCTAATCCTTTTATAAACATGATATTTTATTCTTTATTCTCAGATAATAATAGAATAATAATAGAGTTGTAAAGAAAGTAGTGATAAAATATATAGGGTTCAAAGGAAAATCCATACATCCCCTATAATTTTTAATCCACCTGCTGTAGAACCATGGAAGTAATTGGCACCTATATAAAGTGACCACATACAATTCATTGAATGCAATTTTAGCATCCCTAGTGGTGAAATACAGAACTAAAGAAAACTAACTCGGAAATTAACAAAGAAAAGCAAAAATATCAAATTACAAAATAAAAGAGCCTATTAAACCAGATTTTGTGAAGAGCATAAAACAACACAGATATAATGCAAACTTTGTGCATCACAGTTGCACCTGTGCTGCACACAGGTCCAAGTAATACGAGGACTGTTTGGAAAGTTTGCGGCCTCAAATAGAACAACAAACAAAATAATGTTAAAACTTTTATTTTTCAATGTAGGCTCCTTTGTTAGCAATGCACTTATTCCAGCGATGTTCTAGCTTTTTTATGCCATCACAATAGGTCGATTTGTCAAGGTGTGCAAAATACTCATTCACTTCAGAGATGACTTCGTCATTTGAGTGGAATCTCTTTCCAGCCAAGAATTTTTTTAGGTTTGGAAAAAGGTGGAAGTCACTGGGGGCCAAATTAGGTGAGTACGGTGGATGTGGAACTAATTGGAAGCGAAGTTCGTTTATCTTTTGTTCAGTGATTCTAGCGGAATCTGCATGTGCATTATCGTGGTGGAACAGAATCTTTTTATTCTTCAAGTGTGATCTTTTTTTTCTTCAATTTTTCCAAAAGTTCACAGTAATAGACAGCATTAATGGTCTTTCCTCTTTCTAGGTAGTCAATAATGATGATGCCTTTAGCATCCCAAAAAACTGAGGCCATCACTTTCCCCGTTGATGGAACTGCCTTTGCCTTCTTTGGTGATGGTGAACTGTGGTGTTTCCATTGCTTCGACTGTTCTTTTGTTTCAGGAGTGTAGTAATGGATCCACGTTTCGTCAGCAGTCACAAACCGACGCAAGAAATCCTGTGGGTTTTTCTGGTAGAAGCCCAAACACTCCTTTGACATCAAAGTGCGAACACGTTTTTGCTCGGCGGTCAGCAGATGTGGCACCCACCTTGCTGAGACCTTCGTCATACCCAAATTTTCGGTTAGGAAGTAGTGCACTCGGTCGACAGAGATGCCTGTTGTCTCATCTATCTCATGCGTTTTCAAACGGTGATCTGCTAATAACAAATCGTGAACTTTGTCGATATTTCCTTCAGTGACAGCAGTTGACGGCCGTCCGCTGCAAGGGTCATCTTCCACACTCTCTCTGCCAGATTTAAAAAGGGCTGTCCGCTGCAAGGGTCATCTTCCACACTCTCTCTGCCAGATTTAAAAAGGGCTGTCCATTTTTTCACAGTGGTGTACGAAGGAGCAGACTCTCCCAAAACTTCATCCATGTCAGCTTTGATTTGAGATGGGGTCAATCCTTTTTTCGTCAGGTATTTTATGACCGCACGAGTCTCCGTCTTCTCCATTTTTGACAAAGCATGTGCACACTGACTATCTGCTAAGCTGCTGTGGCAAAACTTTACGACAAATCAAGTGGAAATTGGTATCGTATCTCTAGCACAGATGGCTGAATTATTTCCGCCAAAAGTTAAATTGATCGCAGCGCCACATATAGGCAAGGCCGCGAACTTTCCGAACAGCCCTCATATACTGTGCACAGTGTTCAAAGTGTGCATCATCAGCAATGACACACTTCTGGATTCAGGACAGAATTTCATCTTGAACAGCATGCAGCAACGCAAGGGTTATAGAATTACAGGTTTCAAAGATGTGTTCCAAAAATTCTGCTATGGTGGAAGGTTCTGTAGCATAAACTTGAACTTTTGGTTATCCCTAAAAGAAAATGTCCATCAATGTTAAGATGGGCAACCATAGTGGCCATTCTGTACAACCACCATACTGAATCAACAAAATATTGATTTGTACTAATAAAACAATACTGCTTCCTTTTGTAACTGGACTTTTTTTTGCCCATCTCTGTTAGTTTCTGAATTAGTTTTCTTTAGTTCCATATTTATCACTAGGATGCTAAAATTTTGTATTCAGTGGATTGTGCATGGTCCCCTTCCTATAGGTACCAATTACTTCCATGGAACTATAGCAGGTGATTTAAAAGTTATAGAGAATGTATGGACTTTCCTTTGAACCCTTTATATTGTAGGACCAGCATGCCTTTACATTCCTTCAATATAATCTCTTGCCATGTTGACAACATTCTGCCAGATATCTGGAAGATACTAGTAGCAAAGCTGTTTATTGGTGTCCACCAATGAATACCGTACTGATTGGATGACCTCTAAGTCATTGTTTGAACAGATAAAAGTTGCAAGGACTCGTGTCTGGGAATATACCAGATGTTTGAGGAAGACAATGGGTGGACATGTTCTGAAATGTTGCTATTTCCTCTACATAACAGGGCAAAAATGATGTTCCAGGAAATGTTGGTAGTACATGGCATGAACAGTTCTGTTCTGAGGGACTGCGTGATGTAATATCACACTTTGGAATCATATACCACTATCAGCATCACTTTCCCGTTCCCAAGTTCTTGGCACAACTTCTTTCTTTTCAAAAAGAAGTTTGGTGCCATCGTGCATTGGATTATTTTGGTTCTAGTTCGTAGGACTCATCCGTGTTTCATGTAATGCAATTATCCTCTTAAGGAATTCACAACTTTCTCAGCTGTAGTATTCCAAACGATAATTTGCAATGCATAGCCGTGCCATTTCTGCACTTCAATGGGTGTCTCATCACCTCAGTATGCTGCAATTTTGTGATACCCAACATGTCTTTCAGCACATGCAACACTGTTGTTTGGCCTGCTTCAGTGGCTAACTGTCTCACTGTCCATCTTCATCAGAAATTCAATACCAGAAAGACTAGAATGTGCTGTATAATCCACACAATCACCTGTTGTGCCACTGTTCAATACAATAATTATCAGTGCAGCGTACTTCTCACAGTCCTTTATAATATTTTTAAATATTTTTTCCACATGTCACCTCAATCTTTATCCATGCATATTGTTCCAACTTTGAAAATATTAGGTTGGTTCAATTCAATACATTGCACTCATCCATCTTTATGACATGAAGTGATCCACCTATGTACACTGAACACAAACCTCCTCCCACTACACTTGTTAGAAAGAGGATGACATCATTAGCTAATACTCAAGAGAGAGTGATTACTTTCTTTACAACCCTAGTAACTTTTCTTAGAACAAAATGAAAGTATTAGTGAAATGTTAATAAAGCTCTCAAATTTAAGTGAAGAGTGAACAATTAAACTTTTACTGATTTAGTTCAAAGAGAAATTGTCACAATATCATAATTAATAATAAATAATAGAAAAATTATTTCTGATGAATATTAATTCAAGAGAATACAAGTTTGTCAGGTATGGTATTAAAGTAATAATTAAATTTTGACAGATAAAGTTACAGAATGGCTTAAGACATGTTTTTATCCATAACTTATGCATTACTTAGACATATCAAACTTGTATTTTTCTAATAGCAATAAATATATTTGAAATTTAAAAAATGTAATATGCAATTTGTCATTCACAATGTCTTTTTATGCAATTTAATTAAATGATAGGAATTAAAAAAATAAACACTTTCCATATGCGCTAATGAATATTTTTGATTAAAATCTTATAACTCGCTCCATAATATACAGAAATTACACATTAAATTAAAAGATTTCAACTCACTTCGGCATAAACTATTTGTATAACACCATTCCACTGCCCATTAATTTTACAGACTAAATCTCCAAAACCGTTTTTAACTTCTGCAGAAATCCTGTGAAGTTGATCTCCGTAAAATGGCTAAATAATCATATAAAAAATTAGTATGTGAATTAATTATTATTTTTTATAACTTCCATTATTAATACAATTAAAATCAGGAACACACAATAAATGATAAATATTCAAATACTGATAAAATAGTGTAGATAAAATTAAAGAAATTTTTTTAAACTACTGTATTTCATGACTTATCATTATTAAAAAGTATTTAGTATATTTAATTTAAGCCATCTCGTGCCTTTGGCACTTGCCCAAATTTTTTTTTTACTGTATTCTGGTTAATTAGAGTAAACATTTTGATTTATCAGGGAAAAAGAGAAGTTTAAAATAAGTCAATTACAAGTAAAATATTCTACATGAATACATGCAAAAGTTGCATAACTATAGCAAAAAATAATGATAATAAAAATGTGTTTAATTAAACAAAAACACATTTTTTCAAGATTTAGGCTAAGTAGAAGTTTCTTGTTAGCTTACTACAGGCCATTTGGAAAAATCATTACTCTATGTGAAATTGCAATTTCCCATATAAGAGAGAGTGATTTTCCTTTCTTTTTTGGACAAAAGTCATACCTTACCTGCAATAAAACACAGTAATCTATATATATAAAATTGCTTGTCCTGATTGACTGACTCATTCATTGATTCATCATTGCCCAGAGCAAACCGCTGAACCTAGAGGTGAAATTTGGTACACAGTTAGGGTACGTCATGAAAACGCTCACTAAGGGATTTTTCGAAATTCCCCCGAGGGGGGGAGAGGATTAAGTCTTAACTAGAAGAATGGCTTCTACCGTACTATTTTAGATGCGAGTTTTTTTTGTTTTTATCTGCGTTTTAGTAGGGTATACCATGGGGATGCACACTAAGAATGGATTTTTCGAAATTCCCCCGCGGGGGGGAGAGAGAGAAGATTAAGTTATAACTGGAAAAACGGCTTCTACTGTACTATTTTAGATGCGATTTTTTGTTACGTTTCATCTTCATTAAGTACTTAAGTGTATTAAATTAATAACATTTCAGACATTGCTATAAATATTTTTATATATTTCGATTTTTTAACCAAATGTTCGAACCATTTTAAATTCAAATTTGTTATTGCGTATTGGTTCGATTATAGAACGATTGTAAACGTTCCAGAAAATTGATCAAATTCAAAATAGTTTGTTTGATTCTCAGCAATTCTCATCATTCTCGGTGGTAGGTGTTATATAACAATTACTATGGTTGTTGAAATACTGAATATAAATGGGGTTTGCTTGCAAAACCTCCGTGGGCGAAGTCGTGGGTAACAGCTAGTTATTCATAAATATATGTATTAAATAATTATCTGATATTCTAATTTCATATATTCAAACTCTTTTAAAATGTGTGTTTACCTTTACATCTTAACATGTTTTTTTATATTTATAATTGTGTATCATAAATTGATTTTGAAAGTGGAACAAGTCCATTTTGTGAAAAAAATAGTTAAATTTTATGTTAATTTGTAATAAGAATTAGCTTTATGTTTTTAATCAATTCACAATAAATATCTTTTAATATCAATATAAATTTGTTACTAGTAATTTATATCGTCAATGATATTTACAGTGAGTTGATTTTGAAAGTGAGGCAAGTCCATTGGCGCATACCAAAACAGTTTTTTTTTTTTTCACCTAACGCAGATAACCATTATTGCAAATTAAATTTACACAAAATAAAACCAAAAATATATAAAATAAGTCTATTACTGCTTATGAATATTTTTAATTAAACTCATTCAAATGCAAACCATTGAATATCCAGCAATAGCATAAAATGGACTTCCCCACTTTCAAAATCAACAGCTCATTTAATACTTAGCATTAAAAAAATTTTCTTATAGTAGAATCATCATTATAATCTTTATAATTACATTTGTATGAAATGTAATGAAAGCACTGCATTTTGACTTGCTACAGGAGAGACTTATACGACCTCCCAATTCCATCCAAGGCACTGTAGGAATAGAACGAGCGAAGGCACTTGGGAATGTAAAATTATAAGTTTCACCATGCTCCAGAAGATGAATATTACCTAAATGCAATAATTAAACAAACAAAACATAAAAGTTCATATCTATTTCCTTACTAACTTTATATAATTATTAGTAGTATATACGTCATTAATATATTACTATATATTATAACTTTATATAACTTCATTTCATTAACAACTTATAATTTCAGCATAACCTGATCATTGTTAGGCCATGCTGAAATTTTGTTTTATTCATTGAGTTACTCTTTAAAGTATTATTAAATACTTTTCATTTAGAAGACTAATAAAATAGAAAATTGTTACAGAAAAATTTAAATTCTATACACATACAATAGACTCTTGATAGCTCAAATTTTTCTTTGTCCCTTCTAATTCAAGTTAATGAATTTTTAATTTACAGAAATTATCATTATTTCAATGAGATTGCAAGTATCACAATGCAAACAGTATAGTTAGGCTTGAATACATTAAATTTTAATATTTTTCTTAGGTACAAAATAACAAATATTGGCACTATTAGTGAAAGAGTGTTACACAAGTTTTTCATCAACAATTCATTGCTTCTTTTTTGAGAATACTTTCAATGCAGTTTCCTCAAAAAGCATTTTGTTTTATGAATGATGGGCTTTCTAGAAAACTATATTTTTGCTGACTTCCCTCAAGTAGGAGAACAGGGTATTTGTCCAGGGCAGTATTTATTTCTCTTCACATTCATTGCTTGTTTCTAGCACTTGGTTATTTAATTAAGTAGTGATGATATATTCAGATAATGTCTGCAGACAGTTAATATAAATTTTCACATTGTTTCTTCACTGCTTGTCACTATATTGAAATTTGTTCAATATTCTTCAATATAGTCACCAAATTCTGATGAAAATTCCAATTAATCATCAGCATCAAATTGTTGGCCAAAATCTGGTTTTGTGAAGCAATTTGCAATGATGCTTTGTGGAACTTCAATCCAAGCTTTATTAATCATTTGCATTGCATCTAGCAGGTTCACTCCAAACTCATAAGATCATTCTCAATAACATGCTACACCTTTTATACTTATTAGCTTTTTGTGCTGTAATTTAAAGTTTTAAAATGTTTAAATTAGGAAATCATTCAATCTAGAAGTTGTATCTGAAAGCTATAAGTTTACAACTCATTAGGATAGCAATTATGTCATCTTAACTGTCTACATTTCAAAAATAATCATGACAAATTTACCTTCAATTGATTTATTTGTCTACATTAATTTATGACTATAGTCTGTCTAACCAAAGACGAAAAAAAAAAATTCATTTAACAAATACTCTATGATATATTTATATAAATATTAAAATTGATATGCAAGGTATGCTTTTATAAGCAAAGCCTAACACGTTTCAAAAATGTGAAAACAGTTTACATATGTAGAGGATGCACTTATTTTGATGGAAATATATCATGTTCTAAAACGGGTCACCAAACTTTCAGTGGATCAGATAACTGAGAGAATGGTGAGCACAGGCCGCATAACCATTTTGTTCAACACAGTACACTGAATACACAAAAGATACAGACAACCAACATATTTATTTACCAATACACAAACACAATCAATGCAGCAAGCTTGTAATCGCTTTTCTTAAAAACTTCATTACACAAAGTGCTCTGATAGTCAAAGTTGCAAAAAGTAGCTGAATTTTTTTATTTCACTGATTACCCTGAAATCATTACTGTCAGATGCAAAAATTGGATTAAACCAATTTTGACATTTTTTACTTACACTTATTTTAATTTCTTCTACAGTCTATAATATTTCCAGACAAATTATTATATTTTAGTTCATTTGTGGCAGAGTGTGGCAGTGGGCCAGATGAGCAGACCTCGTGGGCCATAGTTTGGGGACCTGTTCTAAAAAGTTCTCCCTTGAAAGTAAAAAATTTTTATTTGCAACAGTATGCAAAATATTTGTTTCTTAAGGCATGTTATATTTTTATCATTTATTCTCAATTTATTAAATAAATATCATATAAATTTTGAATTTACTTTAAAATTTAAACTCTGTTTTTTAAATAAAAATGACCATAATTCATTAAAGCCTTTTTTTAAATGACAGGAAAAAGCATTTAGAATCTTATAAATCACAGGGATCCCTCATATAACATGGCACTTTTACAACATGGTTTTGTTCTAACATGGTTTGTGAATTGGGGAAATAACCTGTACAACATTGTGTAAGATGTCTCCAATTCTTGAACTATGTCATAATTTTTAAGTGAAAACACATTCATTTGATATTTATTTTATTCAAGCAAGCGTTTGTTTTGTCTCATATTTACCCATGAATTTTAGAATATTGAAATTTTCAATGTTGTTTCAAGTCTTTCACCCAGTTTCCTTCAATGAGAGCTAATTTTACAATTTTTCTTCTTCCTTGTCCTAGCTCCCCATAAACCAAGTGTTACTGTCATCAGTGATATGTTTTCTACTTGTCCTTTGTTTCATATAACACAAATTCACATAACAGTACTTTTCGAACCTAACTAGAATGTTATACAGGGGATATCTGTATATATAAAATATACAAACCTTCTCCTAATAAATTTATTCCTATGGATATTCCAAGAAATTTGGATTTAATAGTAATACAAGCTTCTGCAAACATTTTCTTTTTCTGGCATTCAATATAAAAGGAAGACACTGTAATATAAAAATGGAAAACATCACAAAAGTAAGTATTTATATTAAATATTACCACAATAAAGAAAATAATATGTAAAAACTTGTGTGTAAATTGTAAATAAAGATTACTATCTAATATTAATGTAATCAATTTATATCATCAAATATATCTAATTTGCATAACTAATATATTACTATATATTTAAGCAACATAGTTGAAAATTGTTTGTTAAATTTTTTAAAAAGTAGTAGTAATTTATTTTTATATAAAAGGAAGTTATTAATTGTCATTTGTAGGAAACAAATGACAATTAATAACTTCCTTTTCTATTAAAACAAAAATGCTGTATACTAATTTTATATATGTATTACTTTAATTAATCTATTTATTCATTTGAACTATTACACTTATTGCAGATCAAACAAAATATGATACAAGAGATAAATGTTTGCTTTTTTATTCTTTTTGTTATGAGGGAAGGGGGAAAAGTGTGTGATCTTAATAAGATCAAATAAATAGGTCTGATCTACATCAGTGTCCAAAATTAAGGCAATGAACACAAATTATAGGATATCTGGAAAAGTACAGTGCTATTGAAAAGTCCCCAACATGTATAGTAGTACATAATAAATCGCAGTGTAATTTCTGTACTAACATTATACTGTGTAAAGAAAAATGCTGTTAGAATAATGTCTAATATTAAAGATGTGGGTTGCAGCATGTGTTCAAAACGGCCACCTTCTTGGATATATGCTCATACTCTTTCCATAAAATTATCAGGCACTTTAGAATGTGCCATTGTCAGCTCTACATAAATTCTGTAGCAATACTAACTTTAAGTTCCACTGTATGAGAATTACTGCAATATACCATTCCTTTAAAATAACCTCATGGGAAAAAAATCCATAAATTAGTTTTGCAGCTGCATCTAGAAGGGCCTGTGCAGCCAACAGAAACTTGTTGAACAGTACACATTCTGCTGAACAATGAATACAAGCTGAACCTAGGGGGAAAAAAACACATCACTTGCAAAACCAATAATTATCTACAACTACTAAATCAGACTGTGCTTGTTGAAGTTAACATGCAACTTGAATCACAAACCACAAGTAATGCTGCCTGTTGAAAAAATATCTGGTGGCTACATTGTACAATAATATAGACATTTAAAGATCAAGTTGCATGACTTCAATCATACTGTATTTGGAAAATTGGGATGAAATTTTGTACATTAATTAACCCCTCATGGTATTAAGTACTTGTCATATGAAAACAAAAAAAATTAATTTTCATTTATGAGATGTTTTGGATATTTTTGGCAAAATGTACAGATCCCCAGAAAAAAAAAAGCTAATAGAGTGCGATCACCTCTGACAGCTATGCAGCAACCACAATGGGCTGTCATACAATCAATGAAGTTCTGAAAAAGGCTTTGAGACAACAAACCTCCACTTTTCAACTTGTGGGTCCTGAGAGGGGGCTGTAAGTTTCATTAAAAATATTTTTTATTTCTTAAAGTGTATTTGGAGTNATTTATTGTATTTTAAAATATTTAAATTTAACATAAAACTACAATAAAATAGTTTTTTGGTATCTTAGGAAATGATAACTTGATAAGAATGAGAGAAGAATATTTTACATTTTCTTTAGAAAACATTATAAAATATTTTTATCTCTTCAAATGGCATCTCAATTGTTAAGTATAATGTTTAAATAAATAAAAATTTCATTGAATTTTTTATTACTTACTTAATGGATGATGTGAAACTTGTTCTGCTACAAAAGTAACTGGTATATATGATGAACTAGATTCTTTTTTATCATCATTTGGAATCTTCCAAGAACATTTAAAAGTTTCACCCAAAACAGGATTATAAGGTTTTTTTGCAACAGATCCCTATATTAATTAGAATTCATAACAATAAGATGTAGATAATAAAATTTTCTATAAAAATAAAATTAACATAACTATATTTTAGAAAAATTGTATAGATCTTAATTATTTAGAACAGTAAGAAAAGTGATCAAGTAACAAAGTCTAAATTATATGGATAAACAAGAAACGTATGCATTATTAAGTCATAAGCTTTTATATTCCTATTTAAAAAACCAGCTTATGAAAATTTATATCAGACTTGACAAAAAATATTAAATGAAACATCACATATTTTTTAAACAAAACAGTAAAATTAATAATATTATTTGGTAATACTTCTTTGATTATTGAATATTGAATTGTGCTTACAAGAATTGAAACATAATATTATAATACAGGTAACCCCCGTATAACACGGCACTTCTATAGCACGGATTCGCTCTAACACGGTTCGAGAATTGGTACAATCCCCCGTATAACACGGTACTTTTATAGCACGGATTCACTCTGACACGGTTCGAGAATTGGGTAAAACCCTCGTACAACAGGAAATGTAATAAATTTTTACATACTTAAGTAATAATAGTTCACGAAAATTATTATTTTCGTGAACTATTAGTACTTAAGTATGTAAATTTTCTCTTCTCGCCTTCTGTCGATACACGTGGTCCTTCTCGAAACTTGTTTCAATGTTGCCAGATCGCGACGCTTCTGCTTCTGATGTTGCCGAATGTTTTTCCCTTATTCCATACTTGCTTTATTCTTCATAAGTGCTTAGCACCATATAAGGAAATTTATAAAGACCTTTTAACTAGAAGCAAGCAATCTAAAATTACATACATTTTGCAAAAGGTAAAGCATGGATCTGAAGATAATGCAGAAAAATGCTCAGAGGATAAGGATAACTTGCCAAAAAGAAAACGCTCTCGGTTAATTAATAGTGTTTTTAGTGATGACGAAGAAAACATTGTTTAATTTATATTAATATGTATCACTTAAAAAAATTTTAATGAAGATATTTATCTTAATTATGAAAATATACTAGCATGTTTTTTAATTTTTGGAACCTAACCCTCCTTTTCGTATTAGTTCTTTGTTTCGTATAACACGGCAATTTTTTGGAACGTAACTACCATGTTATATGGGGGTTACCTGTACTTAGGACATAAAAAATTGTTCTTAATATGATAAAATTTTTGAAAATGTATAAGTATTTTCCATAAAGGACATTTTTTTAAAAACACAATTTACAGAAGAAATACAGATATTCCTTGCATAACATGGCACTTCTACAACACAATTTTGCTCTAACACTGTTCAAAAATTGGGAAAATCCCCAGTTTCATTCTAACATGGTTTGAGAATTTTAGAAATTCTCCATATAAAATTTCACTATTTTTAAGTGCAAATGTCTTTATTTGATATTTCTTCATCAAGCAAGCATGCATGCATGTTATCTCAAATTTGCCCATGGATTTTAGAATATCGAAATTTTCAATTTATTTTGTGCCTGTCATCAGGTTTAATATAAACTGATAGTTAGTTAATTAATTGGAAATAAATTACTGATTGCTTTAATAAACATATTTTGGGAAAATAAATTGATGTTCTAAGGCTGATCTTGTGTCAGACACAGTGTACACAATATTACACAGTATTATACAATAAGTCTAGGAATAAAGAGGCCAACATAGTGCTCACAAATATAAATATATCTCTTAGTAATGAAAAAGAATAGTATACTTTTGTTAACTTTTGGAACCTAGCACAATGTTTTGCATCAGTTCTTTGTTTTGTATAACATGGATTCGCATAATATAGCACTTTTTCAGAACATAACTACCGTGTTATATGAGGAATACCTGTATACTTGTTGCTAATAAGCAGATTTTTGTCAATCAGACCTTTAGTATGGCCTTCTCTCATTGGATGATCTTTAAAAAATGTTCAAGTGGAAGGAACTCATGAGATCATTGCACTTTTTGTGTTGTACTTAAATAAATAATTTTCATTCTTTATCTCATTTAAGAAACTTTGTAATTATCCTTTAGTGTGTTGTCTACATGACTGCACTGTAACAATAACCATAAATGTAGAATAATTTTATCAAATTGTTTACTAATCAATAAAGTCAAACTAAAGTAAGTCACAAATTATTGTTATTAAATACATGGAAAAAATAAATAAATTCAATCTATTTTTATATTTTTTAGAGAAATTTGGTATCTTCCGTCATAAAATATAAAATCCATTTTAAAATGTAAATACTGTCAGCCAACATTTCATTCAAATATATGAAAATGCTATGAAAATATAAAGTTGCAAGTAAAAGTATTATCTTTATTTTTTAACTTGACAGCATATATTTAGAGATTATTATTATTCTTTGTCTTATTCTTAAAATATATTCATTTTAACAAAGTGATTTTCAGTATCTTTTAAATGATTAGAACAGTTAAATCAATCACTTTGACAAACAATAATATACTTTTTTACACAATTAGATTTAACTGATATTGAATGTTTTAACAGTGATAAAAACTTACTTTTTTCCCAGCATGAACTGAAGTTAGATACCATAGAACAGCAGCAACCATTCTCATTTCTGGAGTTGGTTCATCTGCTATCCTATAAAATTAAAATTATGTTATACTTATTTTTATATTACATATAATTTATATAAAAAAGTCTTACCTTATAAAATAATCTGGATGGCCCATAAAATTAGCATACATTTCCAAAAGTGAGTGTGGTTCTAGCAGAAATGTAGGAAAAGAAACCTAGGTAAGTATAATTATAAATAAAATATTTTCCAGTTAATCTTGCTTTATTATAATTTTATTTTTTAAATTTTTGTTTAATAAATTATATATTATCTGTATGTTATTAATTGTATAACTGAGGACAACTTTCATAATCTGTCATCATTTCAGTTACACTGAAATAGTAAATCAAACTAATAAGATAATTTGTTGCAAATAAATTCATATATTTTAGGATGTAACTTCCATAAATGTTGTCAAAATACTATCATATTATGTTTGTATGCATACACAGTATATTAAAATTTGAAATATAAATTAAATATATTCACATAATGCAGTCTTAATGTAGTAATTTTTATAAAAACCTACAAATTCAAATGTTTATAAAATTTTATGCAAACAAAAACATAAACATAACAAAAACAAAAAAATGAATGTTGTGATTTTATTTAAATAGAACAAGAATGAATCAGAATTAACAAATACTGTGTACACATTTACACATATATTTAAAAAAAAATTAGTTTTAAGAAATTTTAATGTAATATACTAATGCTACTCACACCAAGTAATAGTAATAGTAATAGGGCGTACAGCTCACTGTGTGCGGTGTTTCTAAATATTTTTCTTTTTGGTGAATTTATTTCCGTTGTCTTCAGGTGAAGGCTTTTGTTTTTTTAATCGAACATGAGCATTTGAAACAGAAAGGAACACACACAAATTTAAATAAAATGATTTTTTGAACCACATTAGATATAAAACCACTACGATTTTCAAATACGAACGATGTTATGAACGTGATGTAATACAGTGAATGCATGGTGTTGGTCCACGTCAATGGTGTGACAAATGATGTAAATCACTGTTTAACCATTTGTATAGGGCGATCCATATGTTTGGCAGTTCCAGAATAGGTGTATTGCACGTTTCCGAGGTCGTTACGAATAAAGACTCCCATATAAAGAGGAGCTTTTGGTCACTGCAAGCCCTGAGTATAGTAGACTGGGCCCATAACTGGTTATAATTCATGTTGAACACCCTTCTTGTGAGTTCTGTATTGCATCTTCCTTTTGACACATCCTCCTGGTGTTCGGCCAAGCAGGTAGCCAGCATTCTTGCTGTGGCCCCAATGTATGCTCTTGCCCCTTTCTATGTTACCAAGCTTGCACAGACTCCTCTGTAATGACCAAGACAAGTTCTCTGTCTTTGAGAAGTCATAAATTTATGCGGTGTTACTATAGTATTTTGACAATCTTTGAGAAGTCAGGAATTTATATGCGGTTTCATTGGAAAATCCAATGGAACCACATATAAATTCCTGACTTCTCAAAGACAGAAAAACACGACATACATTGGGGCCACAGCAAGAATTCTGGCTACCCACTTGACCAAACATCAGGAGGATGTGGCAAAAGGAAGGTGTGATATGGAACTTGCAAGAAGGGTGAGCAACATGAATTATAACCAGTTATGGGCCCAGTCTACTATACTCAGGGCCTGCAGTGACCTAAAGCTCCTCTTTATATGGGAGTCTTTATTCATAACGACCTCGGAAACGTGCAACACACCTATTCTGGAACTGCCAAACATACGGATCGCCCTATACAAATGGTTAAACAGTGATTTATATCATTTGTCACACCATTGACGTGGACCAACACCACGTTCATAACATTGTTCGTATTTGAAAATCGTAGTGGTTTTATATCAAATGTGGTTCAAAAAATCATTTTATTTAAATTTGTATGTGTTCTTTTCTGTTTTGAACACTCATGTTCAATAAAAAAAACCTTTGCCTGAAGACGACAGAAATAAATTTGCCGAAAGCACTCGAAAAGAAAAAAATATTTAGTAACGCCACACGCAGTGAGCTGTACTTCCTATAACTAATTTTAGTGTAAGTAATAAATTTTAAAATAATAATGGATACACAAAAGAACAAAGTAAATTTTTACATTATTTTCTTTTCCAATATCATTAACATCGCTATCATATTCTATTTTTAAAATTAAAAAAGTATGTTTATTATAACTGAACAACCAGTATTTATTTTTTAACAATCATAAAACAAAACCTTTTCAAAAAGTAAAAAACTGAATTTAAAACTTTTATTTATTCAAAGCTTTTGTATGAAGTATATAGCTTACAATGAATAAAATAGTGTCAGTCTTTCTTTGTCATTTTAATTTATACATAATTATAAGGTTGGTCATGCTGATCTGATAACCATACTCCACAAAGGCAAATCAAATATTAACTTCATTTAAAATAAATTTTATAAATTCTTGGAATCAAGTAGTTTTTCAGAAGAATTTTTCACTGAATATACAGTAAGGGATGTGGTTTATATATTCCAGGGGAACCACATAGTTTTTACTATAGCTTACATAACAGTAAATGAAAATATTCAGTTCCCTTCTGTGCACGCATGTGCACATTTGCAATGAATGGATTGAACAGATCATAATCTCCAATCCAATATATATTGTCTGACAGACACACAAAAGTCCTAACATAAGCACTTCACTAATATAGTGGTGTGTGCTAATAATTATATGTACATACATGAATCAGTGTTTATTAGCTAATCCATAAAAAAAAAAACATGAAATTTTCTTTTATTAAAATGGCTTTAAAAGTAGTAATAAGAAGAAAAGAAATCCTATTTTCTGTTAAAGTATAATTTGATTGAATTGATTTTGGATAAATACTTCAGAATGTTTCATAATATTAACAACAAAACTAAACACTATATTCATTTTTAGATATCTTACATTATTAAATAAATTGCATTTTTTTTTAATGTCATTATTTTAATCAAAAATTTATATTCAGCTTAGTACAAATATTAGTTATTCATTCTTCATTAAAAATGTAAACTCTTAAAATTCAGATTACTACTAAATCTCTATTAAAAATTACCATATATATTTTATTATCCATAAATGTCTGTCAATAACTGTGATAGTGCTATCATGAACAGGAAAAACTGAAGTTACCAATTAAGATGCTACATTTTAATGGATTTGTAGGTATTTGCTACATATCATCTCTCTTACTAATTTGATACTAAACTTTAGAATCAATTAACATCATCATTCATTTATATGATGCTAAAGTGAAAAAGTTGATCTATTGTATAACACAATTTATGAATGAAATTCTTGATTAAAAAAAATATTTCTAACATAAGATATTTGGCAGTTCTGTAACCATGTATACTCTTTAGAATGTATAGGAATATCTCTTTTAGTGTGACTAATGCACTACAGAAAGAGACAATATTGAACTTAAATTTTTAAATGTTTGGATAGTTTTTTCCCCTCTTACTAAAATGGGTTTGCCTGCCCTTCTTTGAGGTTCAAGTAATACAATTACATTTTCTAATGCTCTCTTGCTTAAATGCTGTATTTTTCAATTGAATTGTTATTCAAAATTATGCCAAAAGCAGATATTTTAAAAATAGGCTCAAAAGTTCAAATTTAGTGAGGAACGAGTGATTAAACTGCCACTAGCCATTTTACCCATTTGCAAACTAAATTAAAAGCATTAATGCCAGCAACGTATAGTGCAGTGTTCTTTTGCCTTCAAGTTTTTAATCACTAAATAGGTACTGTACTTATATGCAACTATAGATTTCTAAAAGTGCAGATGATATGCAACTTATTAAATTTATAAATTAACAGTGCAATTAAAATGAGGTAAGTGATAAAACTGGATCAAAATTTATGCTACTTTGTAAAAATTTTTTAAAATTAGTTATAAATTCTCTTATACATGCAACCAAACGTCACTAATGCAGTAATTTAGATACTAGACCACAACTGTAAAGCAAGTATTGCCTTTAAGTGAATCACAGTATCTCTTTCATTTTTCAGTGTCTGTAAAAGCCCAAGACAGAATTACTCTATTATTTATTAGGTGCACAATAGTGCTATGCTTAAAAAAATGCAATGAAAAGTATGAAAATGCAATGAATAATAATGAAAAATGAAAATGCAATGAATAATAAATTTAAAAAAAAGGAAATTTTTGATGATTTTAAGAGAAAGGCAAGTCCCAGAAATTATAAAAATGAATATGATTGAAAAGAACTGTATTAGCAAAGTGTCCTAAAGTGAAGTGCCTTAAAGAAAGATTTACCTACTGTATATTGAGCTGGCTGTGACCACATTAATTGAATCCTCTAACACACAAACTATACAACACTGAATTTTACATTAAATGAAGTCACACTAAGCAAGACATTGTTATGTTGATAGCTTCAACCAAATAAATATATTTCTAGAATACATAAAGAAATAAATGAAGAAATGAGAAGAAAAATGTTTTTCAAATAATTTTCTGATTTATAAAATCAGAAAATTATCTGAAAATATCTGCTTCAATAAATATGATTAATAGGAATATATTCATTGAAATGAACAAAAACATATTTAAAAATTTTTTATACTATTTCTCTGCATTAAAAGAACTATAATTAGACTGTCTTACCCTTGTAAGATCCATTCCTAATTTTAATTTTGATAATAAATGTAAAACAACATTTTTTTCATATAAATCTTCTATTTCAGTAACTGTTACATCGTTGTCATCATTTTCATCATCAGTTACTTCACCAGTAACATCTAAAAGAAACTTTTGTTTGTTAAAATATCCAGAATTATTCATATATAATTTAATTCTAAGGATAAATAGGATATAAGTATTAATTCTTATCAACATTTTTACATCAAATTCTGTATAAAATTAGTTTTCACAACACACTTTTAAAATGTTAAATTAAGTATAAATTTATAAATTAAGATTTATAAATATTAAAAAAAATCATTTTTATAAAATTTCAGAATTTTGTTACACACAAGAATTCTTGCAAAATACACAGTTTAACAATAAGTGAAAGGAGTACAAAATAATAGTTTAATTGGGCTGCAATTTGAAAAAATCATAGACCTATAAATTCCCACTGCTGTCTTTCCTTAATCTCAAAAATGAAGTTAGAGAAATAAAATCCAAGACCAGATATGGAAACTTTATGGGCAGGAGGCTCCAATTAACTATATACAAACATCCAATGCAAACTGGAAGTCATATTATTTCAATTCAAAACTTTACCCCTGAAAGCAGTTAACGCCTTAAGTTCTTTGCCTGAGTTAACTCGGGCAGGTTACATAGCCTTACATAAAACTCGGTCCTTTCAGCCCCCCAAATTTTTTTTTTTTGAATTTTTGGAATGTTTTTTAAGTCTCCAAATTTTTTCAAAAATTTTTACCAGTGCAAAAAAATTTTATCGCAATTTTAATTAGCCTTTGATAATGCTCAATTAAGGCTTAATTGTTTTTTAATGGGATTTTTTTATCAAAATTAATTAATCGTTCTAAAGTTGTAGTGCACGGATTTTCCTTCGGTAAAGTTATTTAAAGCTGCTTTATGATGTCAAAAACGACCTCCAATAGTTTTATAATTTTTTTAATTAATAGATTTTATTATATACACTTTTAATTAAGTCGGGGGGTCAGAAATCGCAATTAAAATTTGAGATTTTTAAAAATATTTAACAATATACGGCCAGCTACTACTCACCTTACTACAAACCCTTCGCCTCCCGAGACTTCTATGAGAATGTCCCGGGAAATCCGACTCCAGCTGTGTAAACAATGACTCATCAGTGTCAAATTTCGCAGAAAAGCGAGACAAAGGAAAATAAAATTTGAAGCTTTTTCTTCAAAATGAACGCATTTCTTTTGTTTTTTTTCAATTTTAAGATTTTTTTATGTTTAATTACATTAATATCAAAAATTGCTGGGAACTTAAGGGGTGAACAGATGATCAGCATGACTATTGTTAAAGGAAAAGTATGATGTACTGTACATGAGCAAGACACTACAATACTAACTTAAGATAGTGAGCATATATTTACATTAATTAAAAATATGATAAAAAATTGCAGCCGAGCATTCTGACGACATCACAATAAATAATTGCTCTATTGTGTAAATTCAGGTTTATTGTCAGCATTTCAATATAATAAAGTATGTCATTACCTGAAGGTAATGGTATACTTTCAGGCAACAAACCTGTAAATAAATAACTTTTGACTCAGGGCCAAAAGTTATTTAAAGGTTTGATGATTTTAATGAAGAACTATCTTGGAATCTGCAAAATGTAGCTAGAGATCTAGCTATAAGCAACTAGAGCTTCCAGATCTTTAACTATAAAATGTATAAGAGAAAAAATGGATAAATATTATGATCTTCAGCTAAATTAAAATTTTCTGCTTAGATATCTCTAGATATTAAGTCAGGATTTGACATTTTCTTTTATAAAATTCAGTATAAAAACAATAAAGCAATAATTTAAAATCAATAGAGAGATCTTGAGTTAGTACAAATTTTATAATTAACCAATTGTGAACATTTTTTTCACAATTGGTTAATATCATATTTTATTTTACAATCATTTAAAATATTATATATAAATCCATATTAAAAAACAATTAATAGTTTTACTATATGAAATAATTATAACTATACGATCCTGTTGGAATAAAATCGTCCGTCACATGATTTCCCACGCTTTTCGACGAACTACGGTTGTCGCCATAGGAACGGCAATCTGGCAACTTTTGGAAACTCGACCGTGGATTGGTTGAAAGACATCAAACCATTGGCGGACGTCTTGTAGCGCTACTAGGCGCTGATTGGTGGAAGCCGATTTACTTCAATCCGTATAAAAGGATTGAGTTGTGGCGGGAAGTTTAGTTCGCCTTGGACACATGAAGTGGACTCGCGTTTGACTTTAGTTCGTCTCGGACGTATCAAGGGAACTCACGGTCGNCTATATGAAATAATTATAACTATACGATCCTGTTGGAATAAAATCGTCCGTCACACGATTTCCCACGCTTTTCCATTTTTCGACGAACGACGGTTGTCGCCATAGGAACGGCAATCTGGCAACTTTTGAAAACTCGACCGTGGATTGGTTGAAAGACATCAAACCATTGGCGGACGTCTTTCATCAAACCATTAGCGCTACTAGGCACTGATTGGTGGAAGTTTCAAACTCATGAGATCGACAGGGCTTTCTCCACTCTCCGCAATAAGAAATCCCCAGGCCATGACGACATCACCTCAGAGATGGCTAAGACCCTCTGGAACCTCATCCCCACTAAGCTGACAAACCTCTATAATGCTTGTCTCCGCCATGGTGTTTTTCCCCAAACATGGAAAAAGGCCAGAATTGTCCCTGTCCCCAAACCTGGACGCACTAATGAAAGCAGACCGATTTCCCTCCTGCCGGTTCTTGGCAAGGTCCTGGAACGGCTTCTTAACAATAGGCTTGTTTGGTACCTGGAAAACAACTCCATACTGCACAACTCGCAATTCGGCTTCCGTCCACAGAAATCCTCTTCTGATGCCATCCATAGGGTTATTGACAACATTGACCACCTCCTCCAAAATAACAAATATGTCTTGGCCATCAGTCTTGACATCGCTAAAGCGTTTGACAGTGCCTGGTGGCCGCTTCTTCTCCATCAACTTCGTAAGATTAAGTGCCCAGCTAACCTTTACTATCTCATACGGGACTACCTTAGGGACAGAACCGCCTTTCTACAATGTGGAGGTCACACTATCCACCGCTCTGTTGTCCGTGGCTGCCCTCAGGGCTCGGTCTGTGGACCAACACTCTGGAACATTTACTTCAACGATTTTCTCCAGCAAGACTTTGGGCACCATGATATAGTGGCCTACGCCGATGATGTTTTTCTGCTCCTTGGGAGCCGCTCTCGTGCAGCCATTGAAAAAGACGGCAACGCCATACTTGATAAGATCTTAAACTGGGGAAGAAACCACAAGCTCGTTTTTAACGCACAAAAAACTAAATGTGTCGTTTTTAATAGACCTGGCCAGCAGAATCTTTACCTTAGAGTCCCCACCATTAAAATGGGGGGACAAACCATTGCCGTTGAAAAGACCATCAAGTACCTGGGCATTGTACTCGACCACAGGCTGCTGTGGAATGCTCACGTTGAATACATCACCGAGCGCACAGGACACATCTTCAACACCTTTGCTGGCATTGCTCGTAGACGCTGGGGCCTGGCCTCTGAGGCCATGGATGCCATTTACAACCAAATCTTTGTCCCCATAATTACCTATGCCTGTGGCAGCTGGGGATGGTCTACCTGCAGGGTTCACATTAAAAGAAAACTCATCGCCGCACAACGCAAAGCCCTCTTGCACATTACGAGGGCCTATAGAACGACACCCAACTCCTCTCTTCAAGTCCTGGCAAGAAAAATGCCCATTGACAAACATATCTCCCTACAAACTAAAGTTTGGCATCTTAAATGGGGCAGCACTATCCATACAGCTACACAGGAAATTAACCATCACGACCTCGAGTGCGCCATCCACTTCTCTCGTTCCAATCACCCTGCTATCCCTAATAAATTAAACTTCTTCCAGCCTGAGCATACCGATTTAACAGTCTATACTGATGGGTCTAAATGTAACAATAATGTTGGTAGCGGTTTTGTCGCCTACCTAAACAACACCGAAATTGCGTCTGAGCGGTACAGACTTGGTGCAGACTGTACCGTCTTTCAGGCGGAAATGTACGCGATAAGCATGGCCGTGGCTTGGACTGCCTCGAACTATGATTCCCAGACTGTTACTATCATCACCGACAGCGAGTCCTCTATTGCAGCCTTAAAAAACCATTGTGACCACCCCATCTCCACCAGCATCCATAGTGACATCAACAAATCCAGCAACATTTACTCCATCTACTGGACTCGTGCCCACCAGGGCACTCTCGGTAACGAGAGGGCCGATGAACTCGCAAAGAGCGCCTGTGAAGACAACAACCTTCCAATTGTCTACAGCAAGATCAATATTAAAACTATAAAAAACATCATTCGCAACGACCTCCTCGATCTTTGGCAGGAGGACTGGGACAGACAAAATCATCCCATCACCCATCAACTCATTCCTAACATCAAGACCTTCCTTGCTATCCCCTGGTATAGACCGACCCAACGTACCAGCCAATTTCTTACCAATCACGGACGCTTCTATTCCTACCTGGCTAGATTTGTTAACTCTCCAACCTTCAGCTGTTCCCTTTGCGATGTCGAAGACGGCTGCCTTCACTATCTACTCACCTGCCCAATGCTTGAGCTTGAGAGACACCTTCTTCGCACCTCCATGGAGACACATGGTTATCACTGGCCTGAAAACCTCCACGGAATTATGAACAATAGTGACACCTATGCTGCACTACTTCACCTCATTGACATGTACTTTAAAAGGACTACTGTTGCTGCTTTCAACTGAAACCTCACTTACTGTGTTCTGTGCCTTTATTGCACATCATCCTGATATTATGTATTTTTATAACTGTATCACTAACCTCAGCATCTCATATCACTTATTTTCGCATCACTGTAATGATATGTAATTATCTATATGTATATTTTGTACAAATTATATGTATGTATAATTCTTCTTACTGCTATGTACCCATTAATTTTATTGTCTCATATTTCATACCTTTATATTTTTATATCTTTATACTTTTATATTTTCTTATTTTTCCCTATTCCCTTATTATGTATCGTTATTATGTAACCATCAACTCCGCTTTTCACCTGGCTATATGTATATGGCGCCAGGATTTGTTGTACTCCAACAAGTTGTAAATAAAATAAAAATGGAAACTGATTGGTGGAAGCCGATTTACTTCAATCCGTATAAAAGGATTGAGTTGTGGCGGGAAGTTTAGTTCGCCTTGGACACATGAAGTGGACTCACGTTTGACTTTAGTTCGTCTCGGACGTATCAAGGGAACTCACGGTCGTTCTAACTTAGCCTAAGCTGACCTAGAAGATTATTTCGTCTCGCTGTGCGGTAGATAACATTAGAAGTTTTCGTCGCAAGGTGTGTCTTTCCGATGGACCTGTTGTAGTGGATATATGTGTTGAACTTTGTTAACATCTGACGTTTTGCAATTGTTATTTGTGAAAATTTTTGTAACTGTACATACGTTTACTTTCAATATATATAAGTTTTTGAATTTAACTGGCATATGTGTGTTTTGAACTTGACTGATCCATTTCATGATTTCTTCATATTTTACGAGCATATATCAATTGTCAACATCATTAACAATTATTGCTGAGCTTGGCTCCTTTTTTGGAAACTTTCAGGTATTAAGTAATGCTATTTTAATTATTTTTCATTCCAGTAACTATATATTTTGTTTAACTATTATTACCAGATATACTAATATATTATAAAAATAGCAGATTGTCATTGGCAACGGCAAAAGAGTGGAAACATCATTCGCACTTGTTCGCCTCACATAACTGCTGAATGGAAAGTCCGTTGTGCGCAGCATCTGTTATTTGAGGCGTACGTTATATGAGGCACCAATGTAATTCAAACTGCATTTTTGAGAACATAATCTTAAGTTAGACATTGTTTTTGGAAACTATATTAAACTCAAATTAGATTATAAAATTAGATTTCCTCCAAAACAAAGTACAATAAATATGTAGGAAATAATTCTTAAATAAAACTAAACCAGCTATTTAAGTTGTGAAAGTTTAACTAAATTAACTGAATTGATTTTATTTTAAATTAGCCACTCAAAAAATTTATGACTTTTACTTTCTTGAAAATTTAGAAAGTTATGTTAAGAAATACAACAGATTACGGAATGCTAATAAAAAAAATGCTAAAAGTGAATGCTGATTTCTCATTTAAGTCACAAAATCAATAATATCCTTAAGTATTGGATGTTTTTCAGTACTTTGAATAATCTTAAAAATTGAAGACTATTGTGATCATCAACTAGTCAACAAAATATTTCTTTCATTAAATATAATGATTTAAATCATCATAAGATGTAAACGTGCATTTTTTAAAAAATACTTCTATTAATGTGTTAAATACACAATTATAGTTATTCTATAAGTAAGAAATCAAAATTACTAATGCTTTAACTCTGATATTATAACTTAAGCCATATAATTCCTTTACATTCATACATACATACATATATATATATTTATTTATTTAAATTGTGATTTTGATATACAAAGAAAATCAATGTTTTGAATATTATTTATTTTGTTGCTTAATTAAAGAAACATAATAAATAGTGTCAGTTATATCATCTATTATTTTAAAAAAGACCTTTCAAGAAATGATTATTGAAATGTGTAAGTAAATTTTATTTACTTATGTTCAGTATCCTGAACATAAGTAAACAAAATGTTTATTCTGCTTTCAAAATAATTGAAATGTAAACTGTAGAATCTTATACATTGTGGAATCAAATTTTTCAATGTAAAATAAATATATGCAACTTACATTAAACTTAGTAGAATCATCACAACAATTATAAAACTTTAAAAATTTTTTTTGTCCCTTAATAACTGAAACATTATTAATTTAAAAAACAGAAAAAATGTAACTACTTTATAAACATCAGGCATTCAATTTAATAAATAATTGACCTACCTTTTAGCATGCAAATAGAGCATGCTAAAAGGTAGGTCAATGAGTGTAATTATTTAATGTACTTTATATTATTTTATTTAAATTTGTTCATTATAACATATTAATAATGAACTTAGAAGGATGTGTTTTTAAAACCTACCCAACTTAACAGTTTTCAGCAATAGCAGACATCTCATCCTTCAACTAATCCATTACACATTGAGAATCTACTGTATATATTATATATACATAAATTTTGTTTGAAAATACGGATTTTGTCTTAAAATTTAGATTGGAATATTTATGTATTAAAATAATAATTTTTTATACAATATTTCAGCCATTATTAATTGTATAAAACATACCTTGAGCAGATTGTGATTCTTGTATTGATTGTGATTGTGTAGGAGATGATCCTGAGAAAATAACAGAAGACTTCATTTCAGATAAACTATTATATGACTGTCTCCTATAATATTTTAAAATATTTTTCTTCAGATTTAATATTTTTATTTTTGAAATTGTAAAATTAAATTAATTTTAAATAATGCAATATAAATTTTTGAAATATAATAATCCAGTTAAATAAATAAATGAAAATTGATAAGACAAAATATAGACATTTTAATACTCCATAGGCATTCAACATTAAATTATAATAAATATTTATGTTCAAATTTTAATTTATCACTATTTTATATTTCTACATTACATTTCATTATGTGAGTGATACTGAATAAGAAAATTATTTACTTGAATGGAAATAATTTTGTTATTATATGATACTGTTAATTATAATAGTATTGTTCTTAATTTCATTAACTTGAATCATGATTAGATTTAATTTAGAATTAATATCTTAATACAGGCTTGATTAATCACATTGATTTTATTATTTGATTATAAATTAACGAATTTTTTTACTCGTTAATTTAAATTAATTTCATAAAATATGGTACAGTAAGATTAAGTAACAGATGTTTTGTAATATTTGAAAACAATCTTTTAAATATATTTTTAATTATTAAAATTACTTTTGTATCCTAATCAAATGAATTTTAATATTCACTTTATAACACTAACTAAAACAAAACAAATATATTAATTCATAGTATGAATTAAAAAAGCTTGTTGAAGAGAAATACCATAACTTCCAAAAGAAATGAAAACTTGATTTTCATTTTGTAATTAAAGAACTATAGCATTATAATACTACTGTTATAAAAATTAAATATGATCAATTTGTTGTTGGAAAAAGTTAAACAGTTAAACCATTATTATTTTAGTATACAAGATAATTTAATGTTGTAATAATGGTTTAACATTTTTTTTTCTACAACACATTCTCTTATGAATTTACTTTCTATTTAATTATTATTAGTTAAATAGCTGTTACAGAAATTACAATGATTGCATATAACAACAAATATTTATATCATATATATATATATATACACAAGGTCTGTTCAAAAAGTATCGGACCTTTAGTCGGCAAAAATAAATTTATTGACTTTGAGGTACAAAACCCTAATCCCCTTCAAAGTAGTCTCCTTGGTAATGTATACACTTCTCCCAGCGTTCCTGCCATTGCTGGAAACACTGCTGGAACGCATCTTTTGGAATGGTTATCAGCCGGTCCGTCGCATTTCGCATGATGTCTTCTCTCGACTAAATTTGGGTTCCTTTTAGCGGCATTTTCAGCTTGAGAAATAGCCAAAGGTCACACGGAGCCATGTGGAGAGAGTACGGAGCGTGACGAACCACAGGAGTATTGTGTTTGGCGACGAAAGCCCGAATCAGATGCGCAGAATGGGCGGATGCGTTATCACGATGGAGCTGCCAAGTTTTGATCGACCACAGATCCCATCGTTTGCATCGCACTGTATCGGAAAGACGACGAAGGACCTCCTGGTAGTACTCCTTTGGGATGGTTTGGCCTTGTGGTGCGTACTCACGACACACCACCCCACGAGAGTCGAAAAAACTGTCAACATGACCTTTGATATTGCTGCGGACCTGCCGCGCTTTTTTTGGCCTCGAGGATCGTCCCCGAAAGCCTGCTGAATCTTGCGAATGGTTTACACTCGGGTATCGCCAAGGTTTTTGGCAAAATTTGATGTAATATCGCTGCTCACGTTGTTCAGTCATTTTCCAGCTTAGTGGAATCCGACGAGAGTGCACTACATGACCTCACTCATAGGCCGATTGCCAACAACTGACGCTTCCTGCAGGTGGGAAAAAATTCAGGGCTGTGCATAACTGTCCCCTCCACAACTCCACCGAAAGAGGCCTCTCGCGCATCATTGGTTTACACGGAAAAAAATAGGTCTGATACTTTTTGAACAGACCTTGTATATATCACTCAAATATATATATGTCAAAAAAACTACATTAACAAAGTGTTATAGAGTTCATTTTTAAAAAATATTATATTAAAACCTTATCATCCAGTTTAAATAACCTTTTTCATGAAATGTTTTCAAACTTACAATGATTTATTTACACTTCAATTAAAAAACTAAATATGAATAATATTTTAGAAATTTACCTTTCTGTTTTTGTTAAACTTTCTTCTACTTTATCTTGATTGACAGTATCATCACTTAACTGAAAATTTAATGTTTTGCATTAGTACAATCTTACTTTCTATAAATTTTCTCATAAAATTAGCTTATTTATTAAGTTAAATTAAAAAAAACCATATCTTATCAATTCTTAGAATTTAACATTTCAACACTTTTAATTTACATTATGATTTTTTTTTCTTTTTAATTTGCTTTTGTCAAATTCCAGTTTTTTCTTTAATATTTTCTTACAGACTACTGAAAAATACTTATTTTTTAATAGAATATTTAACAGATATTTTAGTTGATATTCAGTTCTGATTACATAGTATAAGATAAAATATAGACCAAAAATGTTTGAATCTAGCACATCCATTAACATTAATGATATGTAATATATTTAATTAAAAAAACTTTTACAGATTAAAATGATATGACTGATAAATGTTCATCATAAAATATTTTTAATTTTGGCCTTGAAAAAAACTATTCCTATTCAACATTTTTAACATAGTCCAAAGCAAAAATCTGGCTAAATTGCTATTAAAAATGGATATATTAAGATGTGCAAAAAAAATATATATTTCCTTTGGAATATTTTTTCCTGTTTTTAATTTACCCTATGTTTCTATATTCAATGGTTGACTCAACAGTGAGAAAATGATGTTTCTAAATGGACTGTTGAGTTTTCTGTTGAGACTAATGACTGTTTCATCATTGAGCTCAACAGTCCCAATGACCTTAAAGTCCGTTGAGTATTTAACAAATTAACATGGCGGCTTCCATGAAACAAGTAAATTTCGCTTATGGAAACTATCAATTCGCCCTTGCTGTGGATGCTATTGTGACATCCAAAGGGGGGATTGAAAAAGAAGTAATTAGAAATAGGAATAATTAAATCAGAATTAGGAATTCATTTTATGACACAGTGGGAAAATAACGAAAGGTCAAACGAACAAAAGGAGTCCGAACCAAACCCACCCACACACTTCCTATTTCATCCGATTTGAAACCAATAAAGCCGATCATGATGACCATATAAGGAACAACTATTACTAAGGTTGCAAGACAAACTGACTTTACTCACCTCCAGCAATTAAGTCAGTTGGTTTGACAGCTGTTATCAAATTTACGAGGTGGAATGAGTAATCATAATGAATGGAAAGAGGTAATAAATCTGAAGAGATGTTTTGATTTCTGACAATTAACATAAACGAAACCCCAGACACAAATCAAACTTAGAACGGGTTGCATTATACTTAGTATTAGTCAGCTCTCCCAAAAATGGATATAAAAAGGGCTTGGACACAGTCCTCTGGCGGACATCAACTGGGGACTTTAAATCCATACTGCCATTCTGTCCATCACCACCCTGGCCGCCCTGTCATAATTGCCGTCTCTCATGAAGGAAGACTACTGGTCACTCTGCCAATACAGGAACATTTTTACCAATGCCCATACAATGAGATCGGGAACCCAGAGGTATTATTTTAGAATATTTGTAAACTCTCTCTCTCACGTCTCGTCTCAGTTATAAGCTAGATTAAGGTTAGTTTAACTCAGAGAATATTGGGACAAATAAAGGTCCAGAACCTAGATGGTCTATCGACAAGAACGAATTAATTATTGTTGCAACTTAGAATATTTGTATAAATTTATAGTTTATTAAATATATTTTTATGGTTAATTATGTGTCATCCTTGAGTACGGCCGACACCTTGTCACGACCTCTCTCACCCTCCAACTCATTTACCACATAAGCCATCCTCTGACAAAGAAGCCGATAAGTGGGGACAAGCTCAGTGCTCTACTCCCTCAGTTCACACTATAATATCAGACAGATTGTTTTATCATATACAGATTGTTCACTATTCACAAATCACATCTAAATTCAAACTTTCCAGCAAATAAAAGACAAAAATATACACATCGAACGTTTTCGGCCACTAAATTTATCGGCCTTCTTCAGAAAATACAAACTGGAAAAACCGTTCTAGCATGTGATTGCACAATTATGTTGGATAATTTGGTCAATATTGAAATTTTAAGCTTTTTCTCAGAAACAACTTCCACAAATGTGTCCAAAATTGATTACAACTGATATTTGGCCCTCTAAGTCTTCCTAATGATATAAATATTCAAGAAATTCAAATTATTAAAGAAAGATCCGTATAGGAGAAAATGATAGAGATAAGGGTTCATTTGAATAAAAGGATTTATTTGAATAATGGTTGAGTGAGTTACTTTAATTATTTAGCAAAACAGTTGCAATCATTGCCTTCTCCTTAATTAAGTTGGCCATCATGAAAAGTGCCCTTTCAATGGAAATGTTTCTTTTTTCTATTAATACAAAACGTGACATCAAATTGTTCAATGGAGGGACTCAACAGAGATCCCACTGTTGATATAAGTGTTTAGAAACGTACGAGTAGTGATTTCAGCACTTCTTTATTTCAAAAGTTATTTTAGATAAATAGTTAAATTAATCATTCATCATGTTTAATTTCATCTATATTTTTATAAGTAAGTTTTTCAATACAGATCTTAGTTTCACACTAAAAATTAGTCAGCCAAATAGGATATAATAAGAATAGAAATTGGCTTTTGATCTTTTAAGTTAAAATTTGCATTTTATATTATCATAGTCACTTCACTGTTTTATACACTTTTTTGTTTACTATTTGTTAAATGCATATATGACGTTTCTGACAGTTTTACTATACTTTTACATATAAAAAATATATCTACATCATTCTAATATACTGCTGCTACTATTTTTTGTTTTTTTTTTTTATTTTTTTAAGCTCAAGTAGACATTGAAAACAGAAGAAAGGTTAATAGCTAGGTCTTATGTTTTTATATGTAAAAACAACAGAATTTCATTACTTCCTCTTTTTTGGATTAGCATTTTTTGAATTAATAGAAATTATCTAAAGAGTATAATTTTTTCACTTATTTATATTGTTAATAACAAAATGAAGAGGGAATTATTCTCCATGATATGCAAATTTTTCTAATAAAATTAAAATAATTTTTATATTAGAAAACTGAGTTTAGTGTTGAAATTTCTTTAAATTTTATTTCCAGTTTTATAAAAAAATCATATAAATTACCTGAATTTTTTGAAGAATAATTAAACATTGATCTAAACAGGATATAGTAGCATTTGCAGTAGCTTTAAGAATTAATAAATCCTTTAAAAATATATAAAATTTTATTAATCATTTATATTATTGACAAAATGTTATTATTTTTAACAAAATCAAATTTTTGATATAAATTAATAAATTACCATGATTACTAAAAAAAATTAAAAACATTAAATATATAATTTTTCTTTACATATAACTAAATTATTCAAAGCATTGTATCTTACTTATTAGTTATAAAACACAATAATATTAGTTAAGAATTCCAATTAAATATTTTACCATTCAAATAACTAATTCAAAAAGTTTTTAATTCCTATATCTTAGATTACATAATAATGTTTACTTCCATAAAAAAAAGCAATGGTAATTTATAGTAATCTTATAATAAAAATACTATATTTGACAAAATTTTTGTCTTTGTTCTGAAAATAGTATTGAAAGATATTCTAAATTTTCTCACAGCTGGTTATATAGTAAATAACACCAACAAGCCTTTATAATTAAACCAGCACATATATTTTTAATATACTTTGACAAGCACTTTCGATCCTAATTAGGATCTGCTTCAGGTCAAAACATTATATGCAAAATTTTGGAATGCTTAAAGAGTGATTTTAAAATCGCTGGAACAATTAAATATTTGAACAAATACATAGATGGGAATTTTTGTATTTGTTTGAATATTTAATCGTTCCAGTGATTTTAAAATTGCTCTTCAAGTATTCCAAATTTTTGTATAGAATGTTTTGACCTGAAGCAGATCCCAATTAGGATCAAAAGCGCTTGTCAAAATATATTAAAAATATATATGTGCTGGTTTAATTATAAACGTTTAGTTGATGTTATTGAAAGATATTAAACTGTATTAAATTGAAAATTTATTATGTAATTAAATTTTTTGTGTCCCCATATACTGTAATTGGAGAATGTTAACATAATGGAATCCACTTATTGTATTCACTAAGATTTTCCTGTTCTTATGATGATAATCATTTGACAATAGTATGAAGTTAAGTATTATTTACTTAACTTCTGACTACAATTACTGAAAATTCCAGTTTTATTGACTAGCATTAAAACAATTAAAAAATGTATAACTTTAAAACTATTAATTAGTATAGTATATAATAAACAAAATTATGATTTATTTTTTGATTTACTTCTTTTAATTAGAATACAAATGTAAAAGCAAAAACAATGGCTAGTATTTTCAGTAAGTATATGGGCATATTGGATTGTTTTGTTTAGTTTGATCACCTGATACAATATATTTATGATGATGGCTAATACTTTTGATTATTTTTACATTTGTATATTAATTAAAAGAACTGATGTCAAAAGACGGTAGTTTTTCTATCTTGCTTATTGATAATTTGATGTATTGTCAACCTACTCATTATAATTATTATTAACCTATAGCAGTTCATCTATTTTCCCACAGTTTTGTAATACCATCTTTAACAGCAGCTAAGGTATAATTATAATTAAAATATTAAACATATAAATAGTAAACATTTGTTAAGATTTTCAGTGGTAATTCATAACTGATAACAATTGTGTGTTATTAGCTACATGTTGAGCTGCTGGCATGAAAAGTCAGCTTAAAAATGCAAATTTATTTGAAGTTAATGATAACTAAAATCAATTACAGTTTTATAAATTATTTTAACTTGTACATTTTGAGTCATGTTAATTTTGATGATAATAGACAACTGATAAAAATATCTGCAATTACAATAAGAGGATTCTATGTATTATCTAGCTATACACAAATTTGAAAATAAAATACATTTATCACTTACAGAATCAAAACATTTAACTTGAGATCCAGCAACTGGAAGTGCCTATTAAATAATGATAATATTAATAGAATAAAAACTAATCAAACCATACAAATTTATTTTGATTATTTGTTTAATACTTTTAAATTCTATAATTTTTTCATTAAAAATATTTTATAGATATTCTCATTTATATGCATTCACATTTTCTTATTAAAGTGTTTAAAAATTGTATATTTAGTTATTTTTCTACTTTTTTATATTACTTAGATTTTATAAGGACTAGAATTTCTCGAGATTATAGGAAGATTTTTGCAGCAAAAAAGTTGCCTTAGTACAAATTAAAAGAAATTGTACAAATTATACAGTATACAGTATACATTATACAACAAATAATTTATTTACTGTTAATTCTTAATAGTATCATAGAATTGAAAGAGAGATCAGACAATGTTTGTCTATAATATATGTACTTTTTGCAATCTATCATAAAATAAACTTTCTCAATTTTCCTAAGCATAAATATTACCATCATCCATGTATGAAATAAATTCATGGAGAGTTTTCTAACAAGACTGTGGGTGTCAACAATATGATCAAGTTAGAAAATAAGGAAAAACTTCTTATGGTTTTATTATATACATTTGAACAAAAAAATACTGAATTTAAGTTAGAAAGTATAAAATATTTGATAATTTGTCATCATTATTTGTTAATGATGACAGTTTCATCAACTAAAAAATGATTGAAAATCTGTTATACTTAGCAATATCAAAGTAAATTTCATATAAATTAATACCAGATAACAAATTCTCTCAAAATGAGAATGCTTTTAAAAGAGATCTACCTCATTTATAAGATACTTACATATAAATAATTATTGTAGAAAAATTTCAATTTTGATATAAATTTAATGTGAACACAAAATTTCTTCAGTTAAGAACAAATATATGGTCATATAAAAATTGTAAGTTTGATAACAGAAATAATCAACTCGAAAACAATAGTTTTTCATATTTATGGAGAAAGAGAAATTTTTAAATTCAAAGTTTCTTATAATTTTTATTATATTGCATCAAATCTTATTATATATGTAAAACTACTTACATCTATAGCTGTCTTTAAATCTTGTTGACATTTCTCAGTTTTAGACAACATATCTTTTACAGATAACAAAGATTCACACATAGATTCTGCATATTCTTTGGATTCTGATTCATTACTCAATTTCCCCGAAATAATACTAGAATCTGGGTGAACAATATGGTTAGAATTTATATGTCGAATTGGAGGATTTTGCTGAAAAAAAAAAAAAATGCTGAAAAAAAAAAAAAACATTTACATATGTATTAAAATAACATACATTAATAGATTTTAATATTAAAAAAGTATAAACAATATAAAATATTATGACAAAGAACTGTTTTTTGATGTAGTTAGATTTAATTTGAATTTGTATAATATAGAATATTTACTATAAATTTATGAAAATTAAAACTGAATTGTTTTATGCTTTTGAGTGACCATCATCATTTGATGTTTCATTATTTATTGTAATCTTTTAATTTTCAATCTAATCATAAACAGATGCTATTGTATTATATATTACTGCATAATCATATTCTTATTTTCAAAATTGTTCTACATTATTTTTAAATCTAACTTTATTTGTTATGCATAATAATATTGCATAGCAGTGTGTCCCAACAATCTATTTTATAATTATACCTCAATAATAAAATTTTCAATAGAAGATTACTGATGACATTAGTGTTGATGCAATAATAAATATCTCCATTATAAAGTGGTTTATGATGTCTTCTTTACTATTCACATTTAAAACCAATATGACAGAAAATATACTGACAATATTTATCAGTGCATTTATCAATACTCAAAGTACTAAATAACTGTCCTGATTTATTCAATGTTTCAATATAAAAGAAACTATAAATAATTAAAAAATACATTACATTAAAAAAATTAGTATAAAAAAAATTCCATTTAGTTGAAACTTTAATTTTAGAAAATCTATTAATAATAATAATAATGATAAATAATATAATCTTAATTCATACCTCAGCAATTGTTTTAGTCTGATGTTCTGAAACTTCTCTTAATTTGTTTACCCAAAACTGTCTTTCTTTAGCATCATTTGCTTTATTTAAATGAAAGATAGCAGTTATTGTTTTGTAAGAAACAAATAATAAAATAAAAAATATTTAGTTATATTTTTAAAATTATATCTTTAGAATTTTCAATTATTATATGAGGCTTCTCCAAAAGTTAAAATAAATGAATAATATCTAATTCATATTCAGAATGTTCAATTTTAAATAATTGTTTTTTTCCATCAATGAAAACTTTTGATTTGAAATTCAAATTCTATATATTTCAAATGCAATTTATACTTTTCTAAGTATCATTTGAAAATTAGATTATAAATAATAATTAAGAGATATGAAATTTGAATTTTAAATATTATCAATTATAAAAAAACGAAAAATACTGTATTTTTTTTAATAATTAAAACTCTCATGATGACTTATAAAAGCACCAAAGCTAATAATATAAAATGTGTAATAAAACAAAAATAAATGCATTAATGCATTATTTCAGTCAAACTGATATTGTAAAAAAAAAATTAAAAACAATGTTCTAGAATTTGATATTTCCTGTAACTAGAGTCTGATGATGACTAATTAAATTAGCCATTGTTTGTTAAAAATTTAGGATAGATTGCAGAGACAGAATCTAGACCTCAACCAGAATCTGTCATTAAAATTGTGGTTCACGAAAAAGTGTATTGCAAGAATGATATTTTTTGATGACTTCAGTTTAGACAAAATTAGAAACTTGTTTTAAGACCAACTTCCTAGATTTGTTCAGTGGGAAATTTATAACTTGTTTCAAAAGGAAATTGCTATTTTATTTCCTCTGTTGTCACAAAGAAATTTCATTAAGAACAAATATTATCCACATTTTAGATGTTATTAATGCAGTAGAGAGACAATATTTGAACTATAAAAAACAAAACAATAATGTGAGATCTAAATATAATTCTTTAGGATTTTATTATGATCAAAAGTTTCAAATCATATACACATTTTCTAGATAAGAATTTTGTAGTTTTAATCAAATTGGATATAAATTAAACATTTGAGAAAAGGAAGTCAATTATTAACTGTGAAACAACAATTATTACTTGATGATGATTTGAAATAGAATTAAAAATTCCAAAATTAGACTAACAATTTTTTCCTTGAAGAAAAAAAAAACCTTTAAAATAATTCTTTTTAAAAAGTAATGTTGATTTTTCTGTTTATAACTTTTATTAAAGAGTAATTATAAATTAATTCCAAAATAAAAATGTATTGCTTTCTGTCAAAGCCAGTCAAGTGCAGATGATTAAGTTAACTGAACAAAGGAAAGCACCGAACTGATCATAGAGAATAAAAGATACCTATTTAAAAAATAAAAATGACAAAAGCAACCAAAATTACCACTGATTAAATTGTGATTTTGATACATTAAAACAAGTGTAAACTAACTTTTTTCTTTCATATGTATGAAATATGAATAAAAACAAAATTAAGACAGTAATCTATTGTTTCCAGTTTATAAATCTTATTTTGGAATTTTTTATTTGATAGAATATATATAACAATTTATCCTTTTTTGTTGACAGTCAGATAGTTGTCAATTAATTTATCAAAAATTCTTTCTTCTTTGGGGCATTTTGCTACATTCGTGTTCTCCCTCATTTTTGTGACTTAATGAAAGGATCCATCCAGTTGATTCACCAATGTCTAAAATCTGAGATAAACCATGGTAAATGTAACAGCTGAAGTTTTAAGGTTGTTTGTTTAGGCCCTATTCAAAGACATTCTGCATCTTAGCAATGAAGTTTAAACTGTAGCATAGTAAGTCAAAGGCTATACACCATTTTTAGTATAAAAATGATGGAAAGTTAAAATAAAACTCTCTGCAATTAGTCCTAAATGTTGGAAATTAAGGTTTTGTTTCTCAAGTTAATTTAATTCAATTTTTGTTTACATTAGTTCTTTCATATTCCTTTTGAAAGAAATTATTCAACTTAAATCCTTTCAAAAATACAAATTTATACTCACCACGTAGTCTATATACTTCTTCACAAGCAGCACTAACAAAAAATGTTTGACTATCTTCATCACTTGGTGATATCACAGCTCCCTAGTTGAAAAAAAAAAATTATATATATATATATTTATTAGGGTTTCTCATTTCCCTGTCTTTTGCTTGT